AGAGCCCAGATTCCACTTCCATTGTGGAGCAGAAGGGGGGCTGCCCGCCCTTCCCATCCCTGGCCAGGCTTCAGAAAAGTTGTCCCTCTCTGCCCCCAAACTCCTATCAGGGTGTTTGCGAGCATCCTGTCCCTTCCGGGCTGGGCTGGCGGAGGTGCAGTGGTCCTCGGAGGGTGGGATCCCACCATACCACTCCTCTCCCTCTTCCAAGAAGGGGGCAGTGCCAAATTCCTCAGCTCAGATAAATCTTCCAGCTGCTGACCCCAAATGCAGCCAAAAAACCCCAGACAATTGTTTGCAAACTTTCCTTTTCAAATCCACCCTGGGCAAGGCAAGCAGCCAACTTGCAAAACCCAGGAGAGACCCCTAGAAGGGGCACAACCCACTGCCCTGATTGAAACATCTAGTTATGAAAAGAAAGAACTCCAAAGAGGACCCTTCGAGGTCATCCAATCCAACCCGGGCAGCTGGCCATCTTTCCAAAGCTGCAGAACAATCCTAGGGACATGGAGACTCAGAAGTTGAGCCAAGGGACTGGCAAGCACATTGCTCACTTCCCCTCAAATGCAGGACTTGGGGAAGGGGGGGGAATCTTCCAATAAAGGGGAAGGTTATGGAGGGCAGAAGGGGGTGGGGTGTGAACATGGGCAATTGGAAATGTGGGAAAGGGAGATTTGATTATGTGGGGCTGAAAAGAGGACATTGCGAGTCACTTCCTAAGTAGCTTTTTTTTTAAAAAAAAAAAACATGTTTCTAGTTCCTAGGATGGCCAAGAGAGTTTGGGGATAACACAGGTCAGGATACAGCAATACCTCCTCAGGCTTTATGTCCTGAGGTTCTGAGGATGGGCAACCCATTGGGGTCTCCAAAGCTGGCTGGGGAATTCTGGGAGTTGAAGTCCGCCCATCTTAAAGAGGCCAAGGTTGAGAAATGCTATTTTAACCCAATGAGAAGAGCTTCCCTTCTTGCTATTTCTCTGCTGGCAATCCCATTCACAGGTGTACTGCCTCCTACTTTGGATGCTCCGTAGCGCCCACCAGGATGCCCCTCTCTCCGTCCTGGGCTCCTCCCCTCTGGTCTCAAAATGGTCTAAGCTCCTAGGACCCAACAGAAGTCCCGGGTCTGCTCCTTAATCCCCCTCCAACGGCCGTGCCCCGTTTTTTTTCCCCCCCCCCCCCCAAAGCACCCGAGCACTCTTGGCCTTCATTCACAGGGTCAACATCTGGGAGCAGCAGCAGCAACGGGGCTCCAGCCTGGGAAAAAAGACTTTGAAAGGCGGGAGGGAGGGGAGGGGAGGGGAGGGAATCCAAGGAACAGCCTTACAGACACACACCCACACACCCACGCACGCGGGCAACCCGTGCCAAGCGCAGCCCTCCTGCCAAGGCGCCGCTGGAAGGCCGGGCGGGTCCCGCTGAGCCGCTCCCGGGCCCAGGAGGGCCAATCAGGGCGAGGAGCGGGTGGGGGGAGATGCCTCCTGCAAAGGGAATTCTGCAGGGATCCCTCCGCTTGGAGAGCGATCTTTGATCGGGGAGAGAAGATCGCCAGGGTTCAGCTACGTGGCGGGCCGCCTTACAGGTGAGGACCGCTGCAACAAGGGGCGGCTGCTATGCCGCAGCAGAATCTGGGCGTTTCCAGCGAGGAGAAGAGGATTCTAGTCCTCATGGGCGTCGGTTCAGCAGCTTGAAAGGGGCGACCCCTTCCCTTCCCTTCCCTTCCCTTCCCTAAGCGTCTTTCTCAGACCCGACTTTGTTCCCATCAAGTGTTTCGTTCAGCTCCACAAGGGGGGTGGGGGGGTGGGTGATTTTGAATTCACACAGCCAACCTCTGGCATGTTAAAAGCACAGCTTAACACTGGATCGAGAAAAAGGATATTTTAAACCCAGGGATCTATGGAGGTTCTCAGTCCTCAGGTCATGATTGTCCCAAAGGTGCTTTTTCAAAAGGCAACTGGACTTTCTGATTTTTGCTTTGAAGACGTTTCACTTCTGAAGCTTAAGAGAGCTGAAGAAGCTTCTTGGATGAGAAGCGAAACGTCTTCAAAGAAAAACCAGAAAGTCCAAGTTTCACTGGTTTGGGATTCTTTGGCATCAGTTATAGCAAGTCCTACCTAACTGCAGCTTGGAAATTAAAGGGTTTGAAAAGGAACTGGTTTGTTCTGCTTCTATCTGGCATTGCTATGTGCTGGCATGAGAAAACAGCAAAGGGGATCAAATGATCCCAGCTACTCCTGAGAGCAGGAATGAAAGGCTGAGTTGTGTGTTCAGCACAATTGGGCACAAGATGCTTACACAGCAGACAGAGTTTGGGTCTGTTCCAACCCCAAAGTGAATTATCTTGTGTTAGATCTTTCCCAAGGACTACTGCAAAACTTCAAGACAAAGTGTTGGCCATATCAGTGCAGTCTTCTCCAACTTGGTTCCCCCCCCCAAAAAAAACCTGCACTTCCATACCCATAATCCTCAACCAGCAGGATCAACGACAGCGCAAAGGAGTTAGTGCTTCTTGGCCGTCGTAGAATTTGATATGGCCACATCTGGAAGCTACCAAGGCAGAAAGCAGATGCTTTGATCCAGAGACATCCCTCTTACTTTCCTAATAAAATGCAAGCTTTCTGATCAAAGGTAGGCCTACAACAGCTCTGTGAGGTAGGCCAGGATGCTGGTGCCCAGCAGGAATTAAGAAAATTTGAAATATGTTTGAACAGAGATTTGGATCTGGAGTGCCGGTTTAGTAGTCCCTAAAGTAGTTTTTCTCAAGCTTGGCAATTTTAGGATGGTTGGACATCAGTTCCCAGAATTCAACCTGAAGATGGGTGGACTTCAATTAACTTATAAGAGGGTTGGAGTTGAAGTCCAACCACCTTATAAGTTAAGAAACACCACCTTAATACCACAGTAACTGCTGTTCAATGCACCAATAATCCTTTGCAGCTATTTTTTTTTTAAAAATCCCTTTAATCCATCCTACCAGCAAATTAACCTTCTCCAACTAAGGCCGAATTGCCGTTTCACAGCCAGAAGCTCATCTGTGCTGGGCTAAGAGCTAAACTAGCTTTGCCCAGACACGCAGACTCCTGGCTGGGACTGCTGGCTGCCATTGCCCCTGGCCGCTCCCTGAGGTGCAGCAGTTGCCTGGCAGGTGAGAAAAAGGGGAGGGGCTCTCCTCTTGCCAAGGGGGGCTGCAAACCCTGGATTCCTGGCTTGGAAGGAAATCTGGGTGTGGTTGGGCAGGAATGCAGGCAGGGAAGAGAAGGCTCTGGAAAACCCAGGGAGGGGAGGATCTGCAGAAAGAGGCCATCATCCACAGCTGCAGATGTTTCCTTTGCAAGGGAGGGAGGAAGGAAGTTAAGAAAATCTACTACTCAAGGCTGCATTTTTCCCCCACCGCAAAAAAAATCAAACAATGTATTCAAAACCAAACATGGTGTAAATTCAGAATACAGAATAAAGAGTTGGAAGGGGGATCTTGGAGGTCTCCAGCCCCTTGTTAAGGCAGGAGAGTGTATACTAAGGGTCTCAAAACCTGCCCAAAGATTTGTGGACTTCAATTCCCAGAATTCCCATGTTTGGCTGAGGAATCCTGGGAGTTGAAGTCCACAAGTCTTAAAGGTGCCAAGTTTGGAGACCCCTGCCCATATCATTCTGGACAAATGGCTGTCCAGTCCCTTCTCGGAAACCTCCAGTAATGGTGGTGCTGAATCAGAATCCATTCCACGCCAGACCTCCCCTGAACACTGAACTCCTCTCTTGTAAGCCTGCAGCTTCTTTGCAAAATAGAGTCTGCCCCCCCCAATCCCTGGAGAATCAATCTCAGTTGAAGATGGGTGGACTAGTTTGGCTCCAGCCAGCCGGCCACATCTCCTTCCGTGGACCCTGAGCCCCCAAAGCCTTCAGGGTGGGTGGTGATTTGAACCCAGGTCTCCATAGCTCTCCTGAGGCTCCCCTCGCTATGCTATCCCATCCCTTTTGCTTCACTCCCTGGTGGAATTTCTTCTTCTCCCGCAGTCCAAGAGGCCCTCAGAGACGGGGCTGCCAACCCCTTTGCAAACAAGCCGGAGAGCGTCCTGGCTGCAGCCCATCGGGCCTCTTTTAATAACAAACACATTAATGCTTAATAGCAAACAGATTTATTGCAGCGAAGGCCCCGGAGGGCTCGGCCAAGGCCCACTTTATTGGAGGCTCAGCGGCTGTTGCAGCAACACGAAGGATGCTTAGAAGAACCTCTGCCTCTCTTTCATGCCCGTCCTTATCTGAGACAACCGAGAAGCAACTCTCCAAACGCAAAGCCCAACAGATACAGTCCAGGTTCCATTGCTAGGTGGAGATGCAAAGAACGGCATCTCTGCTGTCAGAATTCTTTTGAGGCCACAAAATTTGCAAACTAGACTGCAAAGGTGCCAGTCCACAATATTTTTAGGGGCTGAGCAGCTTTTGTATATCCCTGTGAGGTTTTTAATGCTCACCAGCTGCATAAAGAGGAGATGCCCACTCTTCCAGTCTTTCAAAGCTCATTTGGAGTAAATTAAGCCAAGAGTTTGGCTAACTGTTTTGCAGTAAATGTTAATCAGAAGCTGCTCTGATCACTGCCTCTCTGCTCGGATAACAGAGCTTTTCGTTGTGCAACAAACTCCATTTCCCTGCTAAAAACGTGTCACAGGACAATAAACCATATTTACATTCAAGGGACCGCAAGACTCCTGGCAAGAGGTGGGAGGATGCGGCTGAAACAGTCACAGAGGGGGGGGATCTTCCTCCACCCGCAAATGCCCCCTCCTCCTTCCCCCTCCTCCAGACGTTTGGCAAACCCGGGCCGAGCACAGGGCGTGGCGCCCGCTTTGCTCAACAGCTCGTACCGCATTGCTTGCTGTAACATGCCAGCCGCGGAGGGGAGGAGAGGGGAGGAGAGGGAGAATCACACTGGATGACATCACAGAAACGGCGTCCAGCCCCTCCCGAGAGCCACACCCGAGCGAGGGTCGTTGCAAGGAGAGGCATCGCCGCTGCAGCTGGCAGAGAGAAAAGCACCAGGCTGAGCAAATCAGGGTGGGGCGTGATGGGAGGGGGGCATAAGCGGGCCTTAGTAAGGGGCTCCATTGCAACAGCTCTGCAGCCCCCCTCCCCCCCGCTCCTCTTGGAAGAGTTTGAGAAAAGAGTCCAATCACACACAGAGAGATTTCCTCCATGGCACTCGGACCTCGGTTGGCAAGCGGGCATCAGAAGCGGAAAGCGGGCGAGGCGAGCATTCCCGACCCTCTACATCCCCCAAAGAGGTTATGAGGGGCTCCGGGGCAAAAAGCAGCCCGCTTCTTCCAGAGATTTGGGGGGGGGGGCTTTTTTAATGCCCACCCCTTTTGATGCATACAGCACCATGCAAACCACCGACTTACACAGGACTTCAGCCTCTCTCTCTTGCCAGCTGAAGCGAAGCGTAACCCCTAAAGGTGGCACAATGGAGGCAAGGAGGAAAAGAGGAGGGGGCGTCTCTCTCCTGCAGGAAGGGTCCCAGGAGGTGAATTCCTGATACAATCCGGCATCTACCCGGGGGGAGGGGGGGTACAAAAAGCAAACGCCGCTTGGCGCTCTCTCCGACGGGGAACAGCAGCCCCGATTTTCTCCCCACCCACGGAAGAGCGTTCCGAAGCAAAGAGCAGCCGGGGGTCCCATGGACATCCTCCCCCCGCCCCGCCCCCCGAGGGCTCCCCGGAATCCTTGCAAGAGCCCGGAGACCCCTCCCTCCGCCCCCGGCGCTGCCAAGGAGGCTCCCTCCGTCCCTGCCCGCAGGACCCAGCTGGGACCCCCACCCGAGGCGGCGCCCGAGGGCAGGACAGCCGCTTTCTCCAACGCGGCGCCCTGCCGGACTCCCGGCCCCGACGGGCATCAGCTGCTCCCGGCGCCGCCTGGGGAGAGGCCGGGGGGCGCAGCGCGACCTGGCTGGGGAGGGGAGGGGGCTGCGGGCGCTGCCATCCCGGCTGCAGAGCCCCGAGGGGAGCGGCCGCTGCCGCTGCCGGCGGGAGGACGGGACTTACCGGGCGGGGCTGCAGACTCCGAGCGCCGGCCGGCCTAGCAAGAGCGGGCGGCGCCCGGACGGCCCTTTTGTAGCCGGGCTGCCTCCCAGTCCCCGCCCGCCCTGACGGAGGCCAAGCCCGGCCCGGCCGCCGCCTCTGACTCAGCCCCGCCGGGACGGGAGGGGCGCCGGCGCAGCTGGCAAGGACCTCGCGGGGTGGAGGGGGGAGGCTGCAGGCGCTTGGCCCCCGGATCGACGGCGGGGCGGGAGGAGCGGGGTCCAGAGAGGCAGCGATGGGGCCTCCGGGGCAACAGCAGTTGCCCTCCCCTCCCTCCCCCCAATGTTGCATTAGACACCGGCATGGAGAGCAGCTCTGTCCCTTTGCTGGGGCAAGGCAAGAGAAGCCTGGCTCGGTTGCCCCAAGAAGGGCCCTGGGGGGAGGGGAGGTGCCAAGGGCCTCCTTTGCAGGCCGAGGGACCATCTCCCCTGTAAAGGGTCAGACCTCCATCAGGGGATAAAGAGCACCCTCTGGAGACCCCAGCAGCTTCTTCTGGAGCAAGCCAACGGGGCAACTCAATGAATTGGAGAAGTCTTCAACTCAAGGAGACAAGAAGAATCCCAGGGCTTCTTGGTCATGAGTGAGGTCAAAGCAAAAGTTGGTTTCTGCCACTGAGGCTTGCCGGAAGGTATCTGAGTGAGACGTCATCAAAACCCAACTGGGCTTGAGTTTTCCTTCCAGTTGTGATGACTTGAGGGATACAGCTGTGAAGTTTTCTTAGCTGAAATGGAAAGGGGATGGACCATCCTCAGGGCATCCCCCCCTCCGAGCTCCAACCAGGCTTAACTTTTGAATCCACTCTGGGTTGGCACCCAACCAAGGGGGCAGAGGGAATCATGGCCACCTGGTATGGGCTGGATGAGGCTGGCCGTCTCTTGCAGAACCAAAGGGGCTTCACAGGCTAAGTTGATTGGGGCTGGAAGTTTCTAGAGAAAACCAAACTTTTTTTCATGGCCCTTCTGAGAAAACTTTGCCCAGCAGTGACAGCAACATTGCTCCATCCCAGCAACTGTTAAGATGTGTGGACTTTTATCTCCCAGGGACGAGATTGGGGCCAAATGGGGAGGGGATCCAGGATCCCATCGGCCCTTTCTCACTTGTCTCTTGCAGCCTTCCAACTGCCTGCCTGCCCACCCATTTCACAGATCATCTCAAGAGGCCCAAAGCAGGACCAGCTGGATTAAAAACACCAAGTCCCTCCAATTTTCTAAGGGTGATTCAACTACTCAAACACGAGACATTGTCCAAGAGGTACAACACAAAAGGGGAGGGAACATAAAGTGACGTAAAGTTCACGCTAACATCTTAAACAGCTTATTCTTTCTTTCCTGGTTTTATTGCTCTTTTTTGTATTTTGTATTTAACCAGCTTGCAAACAGCAGGCGTGTTGGTTTCTTTGGAACTGTGACTAGAACAAAAGGAGGGATTTAATTTCTCTTTCCCTGCTGTCAAAATCCTCCAGAGCAACTGATTTCTTTTGAAATCTATTTTTCCTCCTGCTTGAGCAGGGGGCTAGACTAGAAGACCTCTGAAGTCCCTTCCAACTCCATTATTCTGTATTCCAGTAGGAAAGACAAGGGAGTTGCATTGGTTGGAAGCAGAGGTGGGTTTCACCAGGTTCTGACCAGTTCTGGAGAACCGGTAGCGGAAATTTTGAGCAGTTCGGAGAACCGGTAGTAAAAATTCTGAGTGGCCCCGCCCCCATATATTCTCTGCCTCCCGAGTCCCAGATGATCGGGAGGAAATGGGGATTTTGCAGTAACCTTACCCTGCCATGCCCACCAAGCAGGGCCGGATTTAGATGAAAAGAGGCCCTAGGCTATTCCACTTATGAGGCCCTTTCACCTATAGTGAAAGTGTAATTTTAATTTTGCTAACAATTTGAATGTAGGCCCCTCTTGATCTTGAGGCCCTAGGCTGAAGCCTAGTTAGCCTATAGGAAAATCCGGCCCTGCCACCAAGCCACGCCCACAGAACCGATAGTAAAAAAAATGGAAACCCAGCACTGGTTGGAAGGCTGTTGGACCGTCTTGTCTTGATTTAACCTTTTCCAAGATGAAGAATTCTATTAGCTGGTACTTAAAAACGTTCTTTGTGCACGATATTCATGCAACGTGAAATATTTCATGTTTGGGAATCTAGGCAACTTCTTAAATCTTCTCTGTGTGTTTTTAAACATCTGCTGCAATTTTTAAAGGGACCAATTTTGAGTTGAGAAAGGTCCGAACCCTAACCTTGATGATGTTGAAACTGTGATGAGTTGGCTTGTTGTTGGCTTGTGGTCAATCAGGCGGAGGAACAGGGCCAGCGACCTCATCCTAACCAGCTGATCTTTCAGAAGAAAATGCTTTGCCTTAAGACTCTCCTATCTAAGCCCGCATTCCTGTCCTGGGGCACATTGGTGGAGAATTTTGTTTGCTCTGTTTAATTCTGTGCAAAAGAACATCTAGTATCTCTGGAGTGGGGGTGGGGGAAAGTGGGAGGGAGGGAGGGAAAAAAATGCTCCAGGGATGGAAACAGTAGTAGGGGTGTTACATATCCGATTTGGCCTTAACCACATTGACGTAACTTCATTTTCAGCCTAGCCTCCTCTGTATTTATTTTTATTTATATCCTGCCTGTCTTGATTATTTATACAAATAGCTCGAGGCAGTGAACATATCCAACACACCTTCCTCCTCCTATTTTCCCCACAACGACCCTCTGAGGTGGGGTAGGCTAAGAGAGAAGGTCTGGCCCAACGTCACCCAGCTGGTTTTCATGCCCAAGGTGGGACTTGAACTCACGGTCTTCTACTTTCTAGCCCGGTGCCTTAATCACTAGGCCAAACTATATGTCAAGAGCAGAAAATAGGACAGGTATCGCCACAAGATCCGAGCGGATCTCACCTTTTTCACCCAAGTCTTTCTATCTTAGGGCATTTCTACCCAACATCTCCTAGCTATTATTCCAGGTCCCTAAAAATAAGCCATGATTGATAACGTTGCCACGGCAATATTCTAGGACAGTTTCAGAAACCCTGGGGTGCAAAATGATTTTAGGGCATCACTTCAGCCATCAAAAGATCACAGGTGTTCTGGGAAGCATCTGTGCTCTTGTGCACCAGACCCGTTTACCAGAGAAAGTTTTGTCCCAATTTTGATTTCTGAGGACCCCAAAAAGAGGGAGGGGACACACCTTAATTTGCAAGCCATTTGCACAAAGAAAGGATTGTGAAGCCGTGCGAAGTGCGAGAGGCATCCCCTAAATTTGTGGAAAAAATATTCTAGGCTGCTGAATCAGGCAGTTCCTGACAGGAGTGAACAACTGTAATGCAGCATCATGTTTGAATGCTGAGCATGAAAAAGACTTCACTGATTGCTCATTTTATTACACAACACCGATGGAATGTTGCTGTGTATCTGGACATCTGTTGTAGTTACACAATTACTCCACTTCTGCCCTCAAAACGTAGCCCGTGGGGAGAAAGGCACCCGAACAAAGTCTTCCATTCCACCGTTAGTGCTGCCCTAGACATCTGAGGTTACTTTTGCCAAACCTGGCTGGCTAGTACTTTTCTAACTAAGCCCATGATCTGTTGTTGCTCCTGCTCTGCTTATATTGTTACGACAATGTTAGGTTGTTGTTTTGACTGAGGGCCTGTTAGTGTTGGAAAAGCACTAGAAAGGCAAACGTATCTTTGTTAAGAAGTTTGAAAGAAAATGAAGACACAAGAGGCAACTGCACTCAAAACAGGATAAATCAGTGCTATGTAGCAAATGCTTTTCTGTATTTCATGCACTGAGTTTTGCACGTAAAATTACCTAGGCCAGTATCATTCCCACAAAGAGCATGTTGTCAGAAATGTTTCCAGGTCAACCAAAGAAAGAATTTTAAGTCATTATTAAACATACTGGGGATTTCAGGAGGGCCAGAGATGTGTGTTCAGAAGACCTTGACGTTGACGGGTAAAGTGGAGTTAAACCTTGCTTAAGGCACGGGGCAACGGAGGGCTCAGCTCTCGGAATTAGATCTACAAGCTTTTGCCAGTTATTAACTCCTGCTGAACCGTCTGCAGTGAGACGTTGCTTGGGTGCACCCACAAAAGGGAAATAAAACAATGCTTAGCAACTGCTTGGTGCAAAGGGATGAATGAAGTGTGTGTCAACAATGAATAAGAAACAGGCGTGGCTAGAATTCTACCCAAAGTCCGGCCAGACCCGTTTCCTGACTCACTTAAAAAGGAAACTACGTGGGGAAAAATAACAAGGGGTGGGGGTGGTGAAGAAACAATCCCTGGTATTTTCGGGGAGGAGGGGGAAGTAGACTCCTGATTTTTAATGTTTTGACCGCCGGATACGATTACTCGGTGCAATCAAATCACGAATGGCAGAATGTAAGAAAACTGCAAAATATCCGCCCGCCCACAAAACAGATCCATCCGTCCTTGTTTATTAAAGAAGGTGCCCCCCCACCCCCCACTCAGCCCAGACTGTTTGGAAGAATTCAGAACCGCCTCTTTGACTCTGGACTGATTGATGGGGCTTCTAATGCCACCCATCTCACCTGAGTGACTCTGGGCAGCCCGAAGGCCCACTGGAAGGCCGGGAGGGTTGGGAAGGATTTCAGGTCAGGAAGGCTGTTTGGGGAGGAAAAGAGCCATTTTGGAGGCCCCTCCTTGTTTTGCAGGCCTGCCAGTTCCAGCTTTCCCATCCTGCTCGCCAGAGAAAACAAGAGCTGGAGGTGAGAGGAACACCAGCAGAGTCCACTTCAGCTCCCCAGCCACTCCGGGCCAAGTGAAAGCCAGACTCTTATCTGACTCGCAGCTGTCAGGCCATCCGTTGTAAAATAGGTGTGACTCACAACTTGCTTAGCAGTGGAAATTCTGGTCCTATTGTCGTGAGTTGAGGATTGCCTCCTTTCTTACTCCTGGCTATGAAGAGGCCTGATCCGTGCCTCCAGTTCCACTTCTCTTCCCCCCCTGCCCTAAACTCACAAACTGCAATAAAGCAGAAAGGGAACCGTTTTGGGAGGGTTTTGCTTTTTTCGGTACGATTGGAACTCTCCTCCTTCGCTCCCAGATGAGGCCGAGTGGAGACAGCCTGCTGATGAAGGCAATCAGAGGTTGGGTGTCAAACATCATCCTGTCCCAGCTAAGACCTCGCAAGCCCCAGCATGTTTGCTGGAAAGATGGCGTGCTGCATAATCCAGCGGAAAGGGAGAAAATTCAAGGTTCTCAGGGAGCTGGAATGCCTGTGCAGGCACGGACCCGTCTGCTGGCACCAGGCCTGAGAGAGGCAGCCGGTTTTGGAGGAGCATCAGAGAAAACCCATTAGCAGCATTGATCCACCAGAGTCACTGCTGGGCTCCTCGCGGTGATTATCGATGGATTCAGCCGACTGCCTAGCCCATCCTTCAGGCGCCCAGGAGACCAACAGAAACGAAGCAGGAGGTTTCGTTTTTTGCTGTCTCTCTTGGGCAATTGTGCTTTCAATATCAAGCTGCTTCTCATACGTTTACCCCAGTAACCTTGTTGGCTGAGCAGGATGGAAACTGGAGTCAAACACAGCCACTACATGGCATGGATCCAGCCAAGGCCATGAGCGGCCGGCCTCAGTGGTGGAAAAGGGAGCTCCCCCGAGCCGAAGATGGCCAGGACCACAAAACTCAGGATCATCTGCCTCTAAAGCGATGCAAAAATATCATCTCCCTTACTTGCTGCAGCTCCAACAGGCAGAGCTTAGTGAAGGAGCACCAGCGTCTCTGAAGCAGAACAAGAGCAGAAAAGGAGATTTGATTCACTTTGCTCCCAGAATTGAGGGATAATTAATTGTGTGTGCGTGTGTGTGAGAGAGAATCAGGGGGTCCTTTCTGGGACCAGCCTCCCCACCCCTAGCTCGGCTGGGCTAAACCCTTGAGGGACAGGAGGATAACCAGCCCTCGGGAACTCCTGTTTGTGTCTGAGACAAGAGCCGTGTCCAGGGGCTTCAGCAAGCAGCATCGATGGACGGATCCTCCCAGTCTAAGCAGTGAGGTGGGGGGAGGGTGGCAAAACAACCCCCCCCCGGAAGATTTGCAGGCCACTTGGGGAGGCAGAGGCCCAAGGTCTCCCGCGGTGGAACAGAGCCCAGCAAATGCCTGCAGGAGCACTTAGCTGCCTGTATCATCGGCTTGGCTGCAAGGAGGGAGAGGCGAGCTCAAAATGCAGTGACGTCGCATTGGCTGCACCATTGCGGGAAGGAATTGTGCAGGGCCGCGTTCGCCCAATGCAAGACCACCAAAGGGGGGAAGCAAGAGGGGGTGCAGAGGGGGCTGCTTAGTGAGGCATTAGCCCAATGGGCCAGGAGGATTTACAGATAGTCCTTGACTTATGACAACTTCCGCCGCTAAGTAAGTCGCACCTGATTTCACCACTTTTGCTGTGGTTGCTAAGCAAATCCTCCCCATGTGGCTTCCCCCATTGACTTTGTTTGTGGAAGTCCAGCCCCCCCCCCCCAAAATGTCTCCAAGGGCAATTGGATGTTCCCAAATTTTGATCACGTGATTGTGGGGACCCTGTGAGGTCATTAAGTGCAAAGACTGGTCACAAGTCGTTTTTCTCAGTGCTGTCGTAACTCTGAATGGTCACTAAACGAATGGTCATAAGTCGAGCATTACCTATGTTTTCATTTTATTACACACACAGCCGGGGAAAATCACGAACGGAAGAGGCGGGGCTGATGGGTGTTTGGGGAACATCTCCGAGTCCTGCAAATTGCACGTTATTTTTCTGTAGCAGAAAAACTAAATTACAGCCGTTTGTGGATTTCCTGTGGAGAGTCAAAAGGGAAGTATGAATTTCTGAACTTTGCTTTGGATTGGGACAGGCGTTGTTGGCCAGTCTCCCACTCAGATTCAGGGACGAACTGAAGCAAATCGATTTCCAAAGCAGATTTAATCTTACGGTGGGTGCACAGATCCCTAAAATAAGAGAGACTTAAGCTTATCTTCCTACATGTCCATGCTGCACAGGGCCACCATAACAGCTTGACGAGACTGACTGAAATAGTAACTGCAAGGAAAATTGCAAATCGGAAGTTAAATTCTTTTAAACCAGGAGTGTCCAAACTTGGCACAATTCTAAGACCTCTGGACTTCAACTCCCAGAATCCTGGGAGTTGAAATCCACAGGACTTAAGAAGTTGCTAAGGGCGGACACCCCCATTTCAAACCCTCAAAAACTTCCCAATGCAGAATTCCCCTTTTTTTAACACACTATAAAAAGGGGCCAAGTTAAAGCCCCCATTCAGCCACCCACAAAACCCACCCACCCAGCCAGCCAGCCAAAGCAGCGCTGAACAGGCACCAAATTTCCCTTAGAGCAGCTGAACGGCCTGTGTCCCCGAGCAGCGAAGAAGCTACGGCTGCCTTTAAGAAGTCCGTTTTGCCGCAACGCGCTCGAGTGGAACTTTGGACCTTAATTGCAGAGGCCGAGTTCAGAGGAAAAGCCTTCCAGATATCTCCTCTGTTGTCAAGCAGAGTTTTTTAAATCCCTCTCTGGAGCCAGCCAAAGCTTCGGGAACCCCACCCCACCCGGTTATTGTGCATGACTCATCTCCGAAACATTTTCCTTGTGGGAGGTCAGATTGGATTTTGAAAGAAAACCTGATGTGAAGCAACACTGCAACCGAAAGGCTCTACCTTCTCACTGAAACCAGCCAACCCCAGCAGACGGCAGAAACAAAGACGGCGTTTGTTGTGGCAACCGGATGAAAAACTCACGGCTCTTCGGGAACTAGGAGAGCGTTACGTGGCGACGTACAAACCAAACTGAAACCACGTTCTTTCTTGGGGAAAGCCCTGCATTTAGGCAGGGATCCTAAGAAATAAACCGTGCCTAAAATAAATAAATAAATATCAGTGCAGAAACACCCACAACAACAACAACAAAAATATATCTGAAAACTTTAGTGCCTGGAATGTGAGACAGGAGGGCTGATGTCTCAGACACCGGGTGTAACTTTGCAAAAACATGGCGATGCTTTGGCTGAAAACTTTTCTGTGCCGTGACATCAAGGCTGCCCTGCCCACTTCATCCTGATCTCGCCTGGGGCAGGAGCACTACACAACTGCGGCCACGCAACCACCGACTCCAATGTTAATTAGTCTGGCATACAAAATAGTGCCAAATGACAATGAGCGTACAAGCTGGGCAAAAAGCCCAAGCAAAATTCAAATATGTATTCCACAAAAAGAAGAAAGAAAGAAAGAAATTAGAAATCAGCCACGGGGGAATTTTAACTGTATTTTGAAAAGACAAAGACACCTACGCTCAAAGCCACCCCAGTACTCACTTTGACCCTCTGAAAAAGGAAATAAATAAATAAACTGAAGTTGAAGTCCACAGGTCTTAAAGTTGCTAAGGTTGGGCACCCTTGTTTTAAACCCTCAAAACACCTAAATGCCCAAATCAGAGACCTCTAAAAGCAACATTTAAACTTGAAAGCAGTTTGTGGCTGTGGCTGAGACTGTTTTCCTGACATTCCTGCAACCTGCAGAAAAGGGCAGGGAAATTTAAAGTAAGATCTGTTCTCTACCACCTCCGCTCCAGCTGCCCAAAAAGAGCAGAACTCTTTAAATGCAACTGCCCATTTTAACGGAAAGCTACCGCAGGGCTTGGTTTCCACCCAGTAACATTACTGGGAACAAATGGCGATATATAAGCAGTTGTGATCGGTGCAGAGTTGGCTGCCCTCCTTCCCGTGTTGCTCCAGGTGTTCTCGACGCAGGAGAAACTCCTCAAATGCCGAAGACGTGGAAAGGTTTCATGGCTGCCCTGCCTGGCAACCGCGCCCGGTCTGATGGAATTGTCCCCCACCTTCTTCATTCACTGGTGAAGAGGCTCTTTTGCTGTAGAAAAACTGCTGTTCCTGCTCACGATTCAGTCACGTGGCTTGGTTGAGGCGCTTCTTTTTCCAGAATTTCCGGTTTGGGCCTTGATTTGCCGGCTTCTGCGCAGCCCCACGCTTCTTTCTTGGGGGCTCAGCCTGGAGGGAACCGTCCCTGGATTCCGTGGAGATTGGCCCTCGGTGGCTGGGTGTGCCGGGGAAAGCTTTGGCCTTCCTGCTCATCTAGGAGCCAGAAAGGGAGAGAAAGAGGAAACGGCTTCAAAATGAGTCAACGCTCAGGAGGTTAAGTTTCTGCCAGAACTGGCTAAAATGTAAGTCACCCTGAAACCCTTCCTTTTTGCTGCTCTGCTCCCAAATGAAAACCATCAATGCTGGAGTAAGTTAATTACGTGTACAGTGACAACACACCCTTTATTATAAAGGACAACCCTGAACTTCAGAAAAAGCAGCCCTTGCAACTTACCTAATTGGTTTCTTGGCTTTGTTCTTGAGTTTTCCGTTGCAAAGCAAAGTGATGAATGTATTTATCCTTATGAGCCTCTTTCAGGCTTGTGGTCTATTTTGTCCAAGAAAATATGGTTGCTCAAGACCTCCAAGGTCCCTTCCAACTCTGTTATTCTATTCCATTCCATTCCGTTCCATTCCGTTCCTCTCCTCTCCTCTCCTCTCGGACAGGGGTCTCCAGCCTTGGCAACTCTTAAGACTTGTGGACTTCAACTCCCAGAATACCTCGGCCAGCCATGGGAATTCTGGGAGTTGATGTCCACAAGTCTTAAAGTTTCCAAGGTTGGAGACCCCTGCTCTAAGATTTCTCCCTCGTCTCTATTCGCAGAACTACTGACGAAAGTATTCAAATGTCTTCTGGAATTACTCTGAACGCCAGTGAAGAAGCCCACTTTGAAAACTAACATCTCTGGAAAGGTTTTGTAATAAAAAAAGGGGGAGCCAAATCCTAAATAGTTTTTCCCAACAATCCTTCCTCACCTTTGTGGTCCTGGCGCCCTTGTCCGGCACCGGTGGGAAAGTGCACGGGACGCGGCCCTGAGCAAAGTGATGCGGCAGAGGGATGTTGGGGTCGAGGGGGACCCAGGGCACCGAGAGGGCAGCCGGGGCGGGGGGCAGGTCGGCGTGAGCGGCGTGCAGGTTGTACATGGCCCGAGTGGCAATTCCATCCGAGCTCTTGTAGATGGACACCGAGGAGTCTCCCGCCAGGTGAGTCAAGAGGAAGGAGCCCTCCTGCAAGCTGACAACACAACAACCATTACAAACCGACGCCAAATCTGCAGAGCCTTTTCTGCAGCGGCCCGTTCTCCTTCCGTAAAGCTCTAAAAACCTGGCTCTGTTCCTGGGGTGCTACAGGCGCCAAGCCCCCCCCCCCCCCGGCTGTATTGTTAAGGCCTCATACCAACCTTGCTTTGGTATGCCCTTTGAATTCGATATTTTAATGTTATTTTTTTTACCATTTTAATGCTTTTTACTATTTTTATTGTTCCAACATATCTTTTAAATTTTAATTGCAATGTACGTTTTGAATTGTGAGCCACCCAGAGTCGTTTGCCGGGGTGGGCGGCTATGCAAATCAAAATTGAAATTGAAATCAAAACCAATCAATCGATCAATCAATCAATCGATCAGGCTGCTCCCTCTGGCTCTGTGGGACACAAACTGCCTCCTTTGCACCTTGTCACCAACATGCAGTTTTGAATGTGTGCGATGATGATCCAGAATAGATTCAGATCTTATCCCAAATTGCAAGGCTTCGCTACGAGGTTCCCAGCACAGGATTCTGGAGCTGTGGGCCTCACCTTAATTTAAATCGTTTGCTACGCACGCAACCCTCAGAAAGAGAAGGAACGGAGAAAGCCAAGTACGTACCCAGCCACTTTCTTCAAGATGTTTTGGAGAATATGTAATGAATTGGTTGGACTGTGGAGGGAAGAAAAGCATTCACAAAATAATTAGGGGAAATTAATGTATTATGCAAACATCGCAATGGCTGTTTGTTCAAGAGATAAACAGAAATCTGAGGAATGTATGGATTCCGAAGGCAAAGCTCTTTCTGGGAGCAGCCAGAGACAAGCCGGTGAGAGGTCAGACTCGATCAGCTGTTTAAGTTATTTTAAATCCATTCTGAGCAGCTGCAGGATGTGGGGATAAACCATGAACCATGGCATTTGACAGGAAGTGCAGCATCCTCAACTGTCAGTCACTTTTAGGGGCACGAAGTTCCTAAACCTCATGACTCAAAAGAGAGTTTGAGAAATCCCTGGACTTCGTCAGCTGTCATTCCACAAAGCAATCAAGAAACGAAAGCTTTGGGGAGGCTTCTGTGGCTGAGAATGATCGGAGTAGCTCTACTGCAAAATAAAAGACCCTCCTCTAATTAATATTGGCTCAGGATAGCAGGAAAACAGGTAGTCCTTGACTTACAACCAGTCACTTAGTGACTGTTCCAGTTTACAACAGAACCAAAAAAAGATATTTACAACCCAGGTTTAAAGTTCTGACAGCTGGCACCCCCCACTTGGTTTATGACCAGTGTGCTCACAACGACCATTGCAAAAAAGTTGTAAAATTGGGCGTGGACATGTGATGACCTGCTTAGTAACCAGATCATACCTCCGGGCTCAATTATGGTGATAAGTTGAGGATTACCTGAAATCCAAATATTAGTAGCTCACTTATGGATAAAATTTCTATTTAAATGATCATTCAACCAAAAACTAACAGACAGTTGAGTATCTGTAGACCAAAGAGAGGAGGATATCATACAACCAGAGAGTAAATACTGATATATATATTTTTAAAAAGCCCATGATCTCTACTGCATTTGCTGGAAGAAAATATTTTAAATTCAGAAAGAGGAACTCTGGTTAGGGATTCCCTGTAAGTCAACCTTTTTTATTTATTTATTATTATTTATTTATTAATTTTATTTCTATACCACCCTTCTCCCGAAGGACTCAGGGCGGTGTACAGCCTAATTAAAAACACAAAGACAGACAAAATTTAAAAATAATTAAAATTATTAAATAATAGGCCCAATTTATAAAACCCCAAATTTAAAATCCCATTTAAAACCAATTAAAATCTTTACATTGATAGCCCAGCCTGGTGGAACAACATGGTTTTGAGGGCACAGCGAAACACACGGAGATCAGAGATTTTGTTATGGCAAGTTTGTTTGTTGACTTGTAACATTGATTTGCCACCCATCTTACTTACTTAAATGTGCCGAATCGTCTTTTCAAGGCCTTCCCCGTCAGCCGCTCAAGCAGGAAGAGTTGTGAAGTCAGGGCATCGATGTGACCTACAGGAGGGAGAGATTTCCCAAGTGGAAATGAAGAAACGTCAAAGCAGGAGACGCCACAGCTTAGGCCAAAATGAAACTGCAACACCATCAGAACTTGAAACAAAGGGAAAGTCAGACTTAATTTGGAGGCTGAGCTCACCTGTCCCCCCTAACCTATCCGCTTGTTGTATATATTGTGGTTCATCGAATCAACCGTGGTTAGCATGATGCATGCACCAGGCCTGAAAAGTTTTTCTGCTCGGATTCTTTAAAAGAGCGCTTCAAAAGTGTGTTTAAACCATCTGCTGATTTTAAGGAGGTCCTGTGCATTACTCAGGAGATGGCCCTTTCTTGGGTGTGGACCCAAGTCGAGTCTCGGTTAGATTTCCAATCCCAAGGTCCAGCGAGAGAGCAACAAATACTCTGACCAAATGCCAATTTCTCAACAGCAGCAGGGAATATGGATCCTACCACTTGGGCCGTTAGGATTTTTGCTGCTGTTTAACTGCTCTGAATGAGATTTTCATACGAGCCACAAGGTAGCTTATCCAGCGACTTTATCAACAACTCTGAGACCAAAGTTTCACAATAATGTTAATTATCTTCGTGTCGTCTGCCTTCTGTTTGAGCCCACGGATCTGCCAAGTTCAGTAAAGACAGTATTTTTGAAAGAATTACTGGAAGGTTACAGTTGGTCCTCGACTTACAATCGTTTGTTTAGTGACCATTTGAAGTTACAACGGCACTGAAAAAAGTGACTTACGACCGTTTTTCACACTTATGACCTTCGCAGCGTCCCCATGGTCAGGTGATCAAAATCTGCGTGCTTGACAACTGACTCACACTTATGACTGCCGCAGTGCCCCAGGGTCACATGATCCCCTTTTGCGATCACCTGTCAAGCCAAGTCAAAGGGGAAGCCAGATCCACTTAACAACCGTGTTACTCGTTTAACGACTGCCGTGATTCATTTAACGACTGTGGCAAGCAAGGTCGTGAATTGGAGCAAACTTCACTTAACGAATGTCTCACTTAGCAACAGAAATGTTGGGCTCAATTGTGGCCGTTAAGTCAAGGATTACCTGTATTACGGTCGGTTGTATAAATCCAGTGGCAGGAAAGACGTTGTATTCTGTTTTGCACGGATGTAAACAAAAAACAAAAAAAAACCACCCCAATTTTGAAACTCCTCTTACCCACAGTGAATGAAGTATTGGAATGTAACAAGCTTTCGGTCCACAGCCGACAGACTTCGTCTTCAGTCAATGTTTCTACGCCGTAGAAGGCCTGGTATTCCAACTTTGGCAACACGTAAACAGGAAAGTGCTGGAAAACAAACAAAAGCTTTTCCACTTCGAGGTATTTCCACTCCGCCTACCGAGTGGAAAAGCAAAAGTTAAATCTCACCCTAGTGGCTGGGACTTGCCTTCTCTGAGACCGGCTATTTAGAGCTACAAGTAAGAAAGCAACGTCCGCTTAGAGAATTATCATTAAATTGATTAATAGGAAACTCAAGAATCTGAGTTATACTGTTAGGGATCACTCAGAAAGGTTCTTCCTCAGCCAATTTTTGTTTTCTCCTATTCTAGAGAAAGCAGATGACACTGCCGTATCTTGTTCCTTTATGAAGCTGGAATTGGACACCAATTGGAATTGGTGGCTCGAACTCTCCGAAACAAGAAACAAGGAATGTAGCTCTTACACCAGAGTTTTTTTAAACAAATGCTAAAGGGTTCACGGGTGAGCATGTGTGAAGTCAAAGATATAATTCTAGCATATACTACACTGGCACATAATACTCACCCTGGAACAGACCGCCAAGACTACAGTGGTAAAAAAATGGTCAAGGACCAAAAACATTCACTCCTATTTCTTGCAAATCTAGGAGAGACTTGTAAGAATTTAACCCTGCAATTCTGCCCCCTTTGGAAATCCAGGGTGGGGGGGAAAGATGACGAATCAGAGATGACACCCTGCAAACTCATCTTAAAGGAATTATCCATATTGCAAATCATCTGCCAAGAATTCTTTCTCTCTTACTACAGGGCTTTCGAACTCTCATGCTTATATTTCATGCCCTGGAAGAAACGGTTCCTGCAAATGACAATAACTATAATGACCCCAGCAGGAATCCAGCATCGGAGCTGGCTAAAATCTAAACCCACCAAAGCGTTACGTGCCCCCAAGAAAGCCAACCTCCCACCCGAGAAGAGAACCTACCCTCCTGAATTTCGCCTTTTTCTGATGGGGTCTCAACTCGACTTTCTGGATGGTGGTCCTCACCAACAGCAGCATGTCGTCCAAGCTGTACAATTTGTAGACCAGGTTGCCGTGCTGAGGAGGCTCGTAGCTGGCCGTCTCTTCAACTGCGTCCCACAGCATCCCTTTCAGAAGAGACGGGGGAGAGGGGCACACGGTCATGCTGGCAAAGATGCTTCACCCACTAAAGACATTTTTCTCCCTAATATGAAACTCACATGGATCCTGAACAAAGAATGGGCTGTATACAGGTGTACCAGAAATGTTTACAGCAGTCTGGCAAATTTAAGATGGGTGGACTACAACTTCCACAATTCCTCAGGCAGCTTAGCTGGGGAATTCATGGGAATTGAAGTTCACCCATCTTAAAATTGAATTTTGAGAGTTGAAATCCACCTGTATTCAACTGAACTCTGGAAGTTGAAGTCCACCCATGTTAAAGCTGGCCATCTTTTGAGAAACATGGGTTTACAGCTACCGCCTAGCCATCACATCACCTACCTTTCTGAGGCCCCTGGTAATAGGTTGCCCAGGTGAACTTGGAGGCGGTGCCTGCATTTGTTACCGTAGTTTGTCCTGGCTCCACAACTGAAGAGGCCAAAGGGAGAGAAGGGGCATCTGCCTGGCCTTGAGTAGGATTCAAACTCCTTTCACTGGTTACCAGCAGGTGCCCCTGAGAATTTGGAGAAGGGGGCTTCAGGAGCTTCGTTTGCATTTTCAAAATCTGCCCCAGGGGATCGATTTTCTGGGATAATCGTGGCCGAAGCTTGCAGGGAGAAGTCTTTGCATGCGTCTCCGAAGACTCGGCTGGTTTTTCTGAGAGGAAAGCCTCTCCAGGGCTGGGGGAAGGAGAGCTGGGGTTGGAAGGGACCACGCCAGGTTGAGACGTGTGGCCAGGTTCACGTTCTGCGTCGATGATCAGATGTTCTCCATCCGTGTCACTGCTGCAGGACAGGGCAGGGGATCGGACGTCTTCAGCAGTTCCTTCACTGATATTGTAATTTTTATCCGGAGAAGCGATCAAGATATTGCAGTCCACATTTTTCTCTTTGGCCAAAGCAAGGCTTCTGCCATCTGGGTCTGTTTCCATCAGATCGAAAGCTTCACCCGACGAGTTTCCCTCACTATCCAAATCCGGGAGGCTCTTTCCCGAGGCCGAGGCCTTCCTGCTGCTGAAGTCTGTTTCCTGGTCCTTTGCTTTACTCCTCCTCCTCCCTTCCTGCCCCTTTTCCATTTTCAGGTGCTCCGAGAAGACCGCAGACAATCCGGCCGGCTTTGCAGGGGAGACCTCAGCCAGAGAAGCGCTCAGAGGCCTTGTGGCCGAGGCAAAACTCTCCAGTTTGGTGACATCCGTATCGAAGTCCAGATCTGCAGAAACGGATTCCTGTGAGGGTCTGCCTGGGCAGGTTTTTAGCTCTGCTCCCGGCTGGAAGAGAAAGGAAAAAAATGGGGACGCAGCCCTGAGACACGCATGGTATCATTTGCACCACAACGCAAGTCTTGAAGGCTTCAACTGCCAATATTCTTCTTCTTCTTTTTTAATGCAAGCTTCTTATCCTATGAAATTTAGGCAACAACGGTCCTTTTGGTACTTCAGACAAAACAAAGAAACAAGACTGAAACTCACCAGCTCTTCTGACGGCTTGTCTAGTATCACAGCCCGGGATACAATACTGGATTGCTTCGTCATGTGAAAATCTGCTAGGAATTCATGGAAAAACTGGTTTTTTTCCCTCACGCTCATCTCCTTCTTCGGGAGAGGCGGGTTGATGTAGGCCACTTTGACTGGTTTCAGGCCTTTGGGAGAAAAAAAAAAAGGATTTTCATTCCCCCCTCCCCTTTAATCTAAATATGGAAGTACAAGAAGTAAAATTTCCCAGATAATAAGAACTGGATTCGCCTTCCCAAAACTTTTTTAAAAAACCATTATTAGTTGGAAAGAGATAAACAGGCAATAAACAAGAAATAGAGGTTGTTTTAATCACCACATGGAGTCTTTCGTTGTAAAATAAATACACAGGTCGTGTAACAGAATAACAACCCAGAATAAACAAACTGCACTCTCCAGACAGAGTTTGGATGTTCAACATCAAAAAGAAACTATGAAGCCACCTACGGTTAGTTTTTCCTAGTCCATTTCCTATTCTTTGCTACCACAAGATCAACAATCATTTTGTATTAAAAGAAACCACATTTCTTTGCTTTTGTTTCCAGACAAATGCAACACTTAAAGCAAAACTATTCTGTTTGGAGTTAAGGCATAATTATGAAGTTCAACGGGACTATCAGGAAAATGAAAATATGCACAATCTATTTGGCTCATTGTAAAGTTCTAGTGATGAGGTTGACCCTTACTTTGAAATAACTTGCAGAAGTCAGCATTAAAACCATTTTAAGACCAACTCTACGCTAGAATGAGAAAAAAACCCGAAGCTCACCAGCAAGAGAAACTGTTTTCACCGACACAGGAAGTTCCCACTGCTGCTTATAATCCAGGCCATGATTGTTCAACAGAGTATATAAAGATTCACCGGTCAAAACCACCTGAGGACAATATTTGGCAGCCAGTTTTTCAGCATTTGGGTCAGTGCTAATGTCCTTTTTTTTAAAAAAAAAAATGGAGATGATCAGATAATAAATTGTAAATTATAACAGAAAAATGATATGTACATAAGTGTTATATGTTTTGGGTTTATTTTAATGTGTTTAAAATAAAAAACTTTTTATAAAAAATAAATAAATTGTAAATTAGGTTGAACAAAATGAGATGATCACCCTAGTAAGGTTGAAGAATTAACTAATGTTCCAGAAGTATTTTTAGCACACGATAAAATTAGGCAAACATGACTATTTATGTATCTTGCCCTTCAGAATCAAGAGCCCCTTTGTTCAGGCTTGAACTGGACTTAGTAAAGTCTGCCTCCTGCCCGCCTTCTACAAAGGCTTCACTCTTACCTATACATGTGTGGGAGTGCTTGTGTGCGCTTAGAGTTAAGATATCTTAAATTGTAGATCTGGCTAATGATATCATTTCACCATGGAACAATGCTTACGTTTGTTACTCGCTGCCCAAATATCTCTCGGAATTGTCCCCTAAACCGGATTTGCAGCAGCTGTTTTAGCGTACAGAACATAATATAATGACGAAGACATTTTTCTTCTAAATCAAAACAATGGCAAACTCTGATTATTGCTAAAGACAGGACATTTCTGAGATGGGTTGAACTCAATTTAAAACAAAATTTATTCCATTCTAAAACGAATCCACAGCAAATGTTGGCTTGGTCCAAAGTTATCATTTCTGCCTTGTCTATAATAAAAAGTGAAGGAGCTGAAACCTAATTAAGTCCTTCTCCTGATCAGGAAGAGAAAGAGATCTCAAGTTCACACCAGCTTACAGCTCATTACCACAGTGTCAAAGTGTGTTCACACGTGAAGTATTTCTGCTTTTTTTTTTTTTTTAAAGAACGGCTTCAAAACTCACCGCAGTGAGAATGCTGAGTAACAAGAGGAGCTATTAAGGTGGAAGGAAAACACAACAGCCATCGGGATCACCTGCAGGGAATGGTTAACGCGCAAACGTGATTGCAATCGAGCCACACGTGGCCTGCCTGATGGCATGCTTACATTGTGCAGCTGGGCAGCACGGTGCTCCGGAGTCCCACAGAGTCGTTCATGCTTAGCTTGATCCGCAGGTAAATTAATTGATGTTGGCAGCTTGGGGAAGAATCGCTTAACAAGGTGCACCATTCCCTTGGAAGAGAGAAAAAAATTTTTTTTTAAATGTAAGACCTTTGGTTAAATGGCTAGGCCCACTTCTTCTTGGAGGGTCAAATAATCTCCAAATAGGGATGGAAATCATTCTTCCTTAAGAAAAGCTCTGACTGGATGGTGGGAATGGAAGAAATTATACTCCTTGCAGACAGCTGGTCATTTGCATTCTTTCAGTAAGTCGTTGAGGTTTTTTTTGTGGCATCAGGGTCACCAGTCAGAGCCGAAGAAGCTTCTAGGATGAGAAGCAAAATGTCTTCAAAGAAAAACCAGAAAGTCCAGTTGCCTCTTGAAAGAGCACCTGGGAAGCTTACCAAGGCAAGAAGACTTTTTTCAAACTTCAGGGTCAGCTCTCTACTAAATCGTCCACCCATGAGGCTGGTAACTTCGTGTAGAGAATACCATTCAGGGTAATTCTTCACGCAGCCCATACGAGCGCTCAGGAAATCCTCAAGGAGAGGAAAAAAGGATGGTATTTGCTTACATTTTTACATCATGAAGGAGCTTCTGCCCAGAACGGTTTTTTTTCCTGTTTTTTTAAATTAACCAATGTATGAAAAAAAACAAAAAACCCCAACCATCTACCATTATTTTAGAAGCAGAGGACTCCTCCGTTCCCAGAAAAGGCAGCAGAGCTCTCTTTTAGTATTACCTTGGTGTACAGCAAGGCATCTTCAGAGATGTCACTGTAATCTTTAGCACAGCTTCTAGCAGCATTCCGGGCAAATTTCAAGAATTCTGCAACTTCTTTGCTCACAAATTCTTTCATTTGCTGAAACATATGCAACGGCGGTAGCTTTTAAGCCGGGATTCTTTTAGACGTTTGCTATTACACTATCTCCATAGCAAAACAGAAAAAGAAGAAAAGAGAGGCAGCCCTTACCAGATACTGAGTGTAATTCCTTTGCTGAGACCAGGCTAAGAGCTTTGGGTCGGCATTTAAATACTCAGACAAAAGAAACAAGTATCTCCTTTGCTCTTTCTCAGACAGGCTGGAAACATAGGGGTAGGGGACCCGGGGCTCCTGGGGAGGGGCCACAGAGGGCTCTGTTTTCACGGCAGTCTCTTGGGCAGGCTGCTGCTGCTTTTCGGGCCCCGAGTGTGACGGAGCAGCTTTGTTCTCCAAGGGCCTGAAACAGACAGAGCCACCTTCAGCTGTGGGCAAGCGGTCTCCATTCCCCTCCCACCAGGGGCAAGTTCCACACTGTTACGAAAGATAATCCTCAACATGCAACCACAATTGAGCCCAAAAACTATGTTGCTATGCAAGGCATTTGTTAAGTGAATTTTGTCCCATTTTACGACCTTTCTTGCCACGGTTGTTAAGCTATTTGTTAAGTTAATCACTGCAGTTAAATTAGTAACAGGGTTGTTAAGTGAACCTGGCTTCCTCATGGACTTTGTCAGAAGGTCACAAAAAGGGATCATGTAACCCCAGGACACTGCAATCTCATAAATGTGAGTCAGTTGCCAAGTGTCCGAATTTTGATCACGTGACTATGCTGCAATGGTCATAAGTGTGAAAAACGGTCATAAGTCACTTTTTTCAGTGCCATTGTAACTTCGAACTGTCACTAAATGATCTTTTATAAGTTGCTTTTGAAATCTCTCCTGGGTGAATTTGTATTCCTGCCCTCAGACAAGAACACTGAGTTCAGCACAAACGGCTGGCAGGAAACAGGGCTGACCCCACGGCCATTTAGGAGCAGGTACAAACAACATTAAAAAGTCATTTTCTTCCAGCAGCCCAAACCAATTCCTATCATTCCTCAAACCCTTTTCAGGATATGTGATGGGGTGCTCCGTGGTACGTGTGTGAATCTTCTAAAGCCGCTGTGATTGCAAAGAATTCGCTTTGTGGTTCTATGCATCCCGAGAAGTCTTGGAACAGTCCCACAAGCCCCAATCCTCACTGCGCCACAAGTTCACTCTGCACTTAACTCTGTCGGGCAAGCATGGTTAAGTCCTGGGCATATTTGGGATGAACTAAGGGAAGTTGACCTAGCAGAAAAGGAAGAACTTGGAATTGCATCCTGGGAAAAGTCTCGGCAGCATTGTCCCTATGGCTCTTAATAACACCGCACAGCTGTCTCTCGGAATGAGGGAACGCGTCCATCCTCATGGCTAGAACTGGCAAATTTAATTAAGCCCTTCTCCCAAGGAAATGCTGACTCAGCCAGGCTCGGCACAGAAGCTTCAAGCGACTCGAGCAGCTTAAATTAGCGCCTTTGGTGGAGAAGAGGGGGAAGTGGCCCATCAGGAGAGGTCAGCAGCTTTGGGGGGGGGGCAATGAATGCCCAAGCCCCTGCAGAATGAAAGCCAAAGTTTGCTTTCCCCGCCTCTTTCCCTCTGCATCACCAGCTGGGGTCTTATTTAAAGCCCTCCTTAATTCAAAGGAGAAAAGACTGGGGGGGGGGGGAAGAGGAGGGGAAGGACAAACATCTGGAGCAGAAGTTTTAAGAATGCATTTACCGATACCTTTTTGAGAACGACATTAGTTCGGAGAGGGTTGGAGCCAGAGAATATTTCTCATAAAGGTCTCGTGAGAAATACACATCGTGACCGTTTTGGGGAGGGATGTCCCTAAAGTGCAAGGAAAAAGAAAACAGTCACATCTACACAAACTTTTAACAGCATCCTCAAAGGTTCCTCAAAAATGAGAAGGGTGGAATTTCGACTCACAGGGGTCGTCAGCCAACGATCACAGATTGATCGACCAATAGCCCCATTTTTAGACTGCTCCACCCCAAAACAGAGATGATATAAATAAATAAAAATTATTTTTTTTAGGTACAATGTATGTCTTGGAGTAGGGAAGTATAAAAAACGAGGGGGGCTATTAATCAAGCAATATTAGTTTTTACTGTTTCAATGCTTTTTACTGTTTTAAAATGTTTTCAAGGTTTTAATTGTAATACGTGTTTTAAATTGGGTGCCGCCCAGAGTCATTTGCTGAGATGGGCGGCTATAGAAATCAAATCAAATCAAATCAATAAATTTGCTAGACAAACATATACAACACACAGACACATATTATTGTGTGTGTATGTATGTGTGTGTATATATATATATATATACACATATACACACACGTATACATATACATACATACATACATACATATTTTCTGAGGTTTTCGCGGGTGCTTGTATGTAGGTCTTTGGTTATTCGGGTTTTCTCCCACGTAAAATTGGAAGTGTCTTGGCGACGTTTCGACAAAGTCACATTCGTCATCCTCAGGCTGGTGTTTTCGGCTTCGAGCTTCTAGGAGCAATATGTAATCGCAGCTGTTTCTTCCTTTTAACTGCTAGTGGGGGTGTGAACTGATTGTGTGGGAGCTTGGGTGGGACTTCGTGGAAATGTCGCCAAGACACGCGGGAGAAAACCCGAATAACCAAAGACCTACATATACATACATACATACATACATACATACATACATCCCATTTCTCCCCAAACAAAAAGGAAAGAGCCAAGACAATCAAATCATTTTACTTATAATGGGATTAATTACAAATCACCTTGCAGTCTGTGATAACGGATCGAGGGGCTTTGCAGCGCCGGGGAGGATGGGGACTGTAGTCTGACCACAAAGGCAGGCGGGGGGGGGAGTTTTGGGGGTCCACGTCCCCCTCGCCCAAAATGTGGCTGATGGGGCAGATGCAAGACTTGTTTATTTTAAAAGGTTGTCCTCTCCTCCCGCCTTCTGGCACGGTCCGTTTCCAGCCTCTGGCGGCTCTCTAGAGCTGGGGAAGGAGGGGCGCTCTGTACATGCCCAGAGGCTCCCTTCCCTCCCCGTCCCCTCGCACCCTCCGGGGGTCTGGGCTCCACGAGGCATGTCAGGGCACAGAACTGCTCCCCCCCGCCCCCCCAAAGACCCCCGACGACCCCCGTCCGAGCCCCGCAGCCCCCCTCACCAGCTCAGCGCCGTCCAAGCGGGCGCCGCCGCCGCCGCCATCTTGAGCGCGGCCCGCCGCCACTTGCCTTGCGTGGCTACCCGACCTGGCGGCGGCATCGCCAAGCACCGCCCCAAGCTCCCGGGATGGACCAATCCACAGGGTGGACCTTGCCGAGAGGCCGCGCTCGGGAAGCAAACTATCCAATCAGAGGGTGGCGAGGAAGGGCGCGTAGAGGGGAACTTGACGCCGTCGTGCGTGAGGGCGGAATCTCCGACCCTTTTCCTCCCCCTTTTCAGGCAGCGCGGGGCGTTTGGAATGGGAAGCAAACAACGTTGATTTTTCTTGCATGCGGATCAGTTAATGCGGGCTTGTAGATTTAGGAATAAATCTGGATATTCGGCATTAGCACCTTGGAAACAGCAAGAATATAGGGTTTCCTGCTTGAGCAGGGGGTTGGACCAGATGACCTCCAAGGTCCCTTCCAACTATTATTCTGTTATTCTTTTTGATTGAGATTGCAGTAGCGATCAATCACATCCTGCTAGAAGTAATCTGGAGTTTCTCAACCTTGGCAACTTTGAAAATGGGTGGACTACAACTCCCAGAATTCCCCAGCCAGCAAAGCAAAGCTGGTTAGGGGATTCTGGGAGTTGAAGCCCACCCATTTTCAAAGTTGCCAAGGTTGAGAAACACTGCCCAGGAATCTGCCCAGGATGAAACTCGCCCGATTCCTCCTCTAGTCCTACCCAAAAGTGGCCTGCCCCTTCACTGGGGGAACTCCCTGATGATTGTAAATCAATTGTAAATAAAATCGTGTGAATTGATACAGGAATTGTATGCTCAGTTTTTGCTCCAGTTTTCCTAAGGACAACCCTGCAGTTCAGATTGGACTGAGAGTTGGGTGGGTGAAAGTGGACCAAAACAAGATTGTCAAGCATGTTCAGCTTGGGCAACCTCTGACAAAAAGGCAAAGTTTTAGGCATTGAAGATTGGCCGGGTTTGAGTAGACTTTTGTCTGAAATAACAGAATAACAGAGTTGGAAGGGACCTTGGAGGACCTGCTCAGGCAGGAAACCCTAGACCACTTCAGACAAATGGTTGTCCAATCTCTTCTTGAAAACCTCCAGTGTTGGAGCACCACAATTTTTGGAGGCAAATCATCCCAATGATTCTGTCAGGAAATTTCTCCCTAGTTCTAGGTTGCTTCTTTCCTTGATTATTTTCCATCCCTCACTTCTTGTCCTGCCTTCTGATGCTTTGGAGAATAGCTTGACTCCCTCTTCTTTGTGGCAGCCCCTCAAATACTGGAAAATACTGCTAACATGTCACCCTTAGTCCTTCTTTTCATTAAACTAGACGTACCCAGTTCCAGCAGCCATCCTTTATTTGTTGGTACAGGGTTTCCTGCTTGAATACGGGGTTGGACTAGAAGGCCTACAAGGCTCCTTCCTACTCTGTTATTCTGTTTCTTCTGCCTTTCATTTCTTGTGAACCCTCCATCAAGTTCTGGTGGTGGAACCCAGTTGGAAAAACTCTCGATCAGGACCTCATTTCCAGTTTTTAAATCACCATTCAACCCCAGAACCACTGCACCCTCCTGCCAGTGGGGGCTTCCCTTGAACCCTTATGAAAATTTAATAAGGTACACAGGGGGGAAAAACGAAGATGATGAAGGTTTCCATTAGAAGCTGAAGTTTTATTACAGGAGACCAGTACATAAAGCACATCTAAAATTGATGTGTTCAATGCACTTAATAAAGGTAATGTAATATTAAAGGTACAGGTTCTAAGTACAATATAACAACATTCATATTAGAATGAAAATCAGAGTATTTAAAAGACAACATTAAATCTCTTATTTTTACAATTGTATTTACAAAATGAGTCAAAATACTTTATTCAGGATCAGGATAAAACCGCTGCGACTAAGCTGTCAGGTATAGGAGTGAATTCTAAAGAAAGTCTGATTGCAGTGAAAAAAATTAGGTCATAACAGGGCAAAGACCATTAGTATCGTTTTATTACAATATTACTTTTAAGATTCATCTCAATGGCTTATACTTTTTTTATAACTAGAAAATGGACTTATATATACTGTACACAAAAGACTACACGTTTTTGCATGTCCAGTACAGATTCATGTCAATTTGTAGGTATTTACAGAAGACTGAGCATTTCTCTCAATGAGGTTGGTGATGTATATGTGCTTAATTCTCAGACCGATACATATTTATAATCAGCATTTATTATTTCTCAGACACTATGAGAAACATTACTTGCACAGATTTGCATAATTTATAAAACAATGAAGCCCGAACAGTTAGGGATTGGTATAAAGGAGGTGAAACATGGATTACACAAATAATAAGAGGAACTCTGGTTAAAAAGTGACTTGGATTGATAAGGGAGTGAACAGTAATAATGGACTTGCATCTTTAAAGAAAATTGTATGTTTAAAAAAACCAATTAACTGATTATTACGTACAAAGTAAATGTACGTAAGCTTATTAAAATGTAGCCAGGGTGCAGATAAATTCTGATCCCCCACCCCCCAGAATAACGATTGGTGTATTAAATCAAAAACAGAAGCATGGAGCTGAGACTTTAATAGTCACTATCCTCTATTATCAAAAAGAGTGGTAAACAAACAGCTTCTTAAATTCCTCAAAAATGTTTGCTAAAGATTTTATAATCAGTTAATAGTCCATAAAAGAGTCATAATAAATATTTCAAAGTGTATTCCTCATTTTAGATATTTGATATCCATTATTGCTAAAATAATACTGGTCCTAATTTTTTTTTTAAAGTATCAATTTCACATGGCAGTCAATTTCAGTGCCAACTTTTGTTCAGACTTAGACTGTGCCGTTTATGATGCCACGGAGAATTAGATTTGCACTTTTTAGTTTGCACGTCTCTACACCTATCTAGATTTACAATAAATGCACACTGTTGGATGGATGAGTGATTGCCCAGGACAGAAACAGAAAGATTAATTAACATCTTTATAATATTTGTTCTTTTTTTTTTCTTGGCATGTATTGATTTATCAGGCAGTCAGGCTTACAGTGCCCTCCTATGCAGATCTACTCACAACTTAACTCATGGCAAGCTCAGTGAAACTTCTTCTTCAATAAATGAGGTGGTGAATCTGCACTTGTTTCCCTGGGAGGTAACATTCATTGATTCAGGAAACAGCTGCACCCGATCAAACTTAGAGGGGCTTGGAAGCTCTAGGGAGAAAGATCTGGGGGTCTTTGCCCTCCGTCATCCAAAGTCACTTTGGGTGAGGTGGACAACCATGTTAAGGGGATTAATAGATCAATTTGGGCAAGAGCCCACCAGGGAGGTTCAAAGCGGTGGCCAGACAGAGACGTTTTTTAAGAAATTGGGAGCTGAAACTGGGAGTTGAAGTCCACAAGTCTTTACGTTGCCAAGGGTTGTACACCCTTGCTTTAGATTTTAATGATGTCATTGCAATTCCTACTTTTGCCCACCAGATTCTGGAATCACAAGTTCACCTGAGTTTTTTCAGACAATATTTTCAAAATAAGATGCTTAAAGTTGCCCTATAGATCACCTGTTGATTCCAGGACTACCTACTTATAGCATTAGAGCTTTACAGATCTCCAGTAAAAAAATAAAATAAAATCGGATGTTTTAGTCCTGTTTTAGTCCTGTCCTGGGAACTAGCAGGACAAGTTCAAATTAAACCCAGATCTTTTGGAGCAAAAACAAGAACCAAAAAATCAGCCCAAATGATGGCGAATTCCTGGCCTTGAAAGAACTTAATTAGGAGGGTAAAAAGAGAGGATACACTATATTGGATATCAAATATCATAGCGAGGAGTTAATTTCCTCCTGATTAAATATACTAGAGACAACTTTATAGAATTATATAGTTGAAGAGAAAACCATGACCCCAACTAATACTCTGATGCAGGTACTTCGTTGGGCACGTGGGCAGGATTGTATAAGGTTTATACGCACCTACACACACACACACACACACATAAATATTCCATGAAATATTCGTACAAGATCAAGTGTGGTATTGCCTAGGAATAAAACAGGGGAAGGGGTTGTTGTTCGTCAAATTAACTTCGCTAGCACCACACATCCGAAGAACACAAAAGAACAGACGCTAGTTCTAAACATCTATTTCTAAAATAGAGTATATAGTAAAACAGATATTATACAGCATAATGTGGTATTTGATAAACAGATAAATATTTGCACCGCGTAGGCTTTCCTTTTTTAAATAGTATATCTTTATCTATAGAGAATGAACGCAAAGTAGTTATAACCATACAGGAGGTGAGCAGAACCACACGGAACAGTTAAATATGACTCAGAAGCTGAGACACAAAGAATGACGTAACAAACCGAGCTAGAGAAAATGTATACAGGCCATTACAAGTCCTTAAATTAGTAGTAAAATAAGGAGTTGGTTGATCAAGTTTAAGAAAGCAGTAAACAAGAGATTTTGCATTTACATGCAGATGTCTACAATTGGTATGTCTTTAAATCTATGCACAAAAATCATTGTTTTTATTGCTTGACATTCAGTTATGGCTAGAGTATTTTTTTTTAACCTTTATTGTGTACTTTGGAAATAAGAATATTGTTAAAGGTGCCATAAAATGGACAGCACAGAAAACAATTTGCAAATAAACCACCTACCACTGCAATTCTTCTTACGTTTTTTTTTTTTAAAAGCCTTGTCTGGGGTTTGTTAAATACGTTAAATATATTCCAAGTGGGAAAAATACATCGTCGCTTGAAGCCTCCCATGGGCTCAAACATCCATACAAAAAACGCATCTCCACGAAAAAAGGAGCAGGCAGACAGGACAGTTTACACAGAGAGAAGCAGCCAGCTAACGTCCTATTCATCAAAAGAGGGACCACTGGAGGTTTTTTTGTCTTTTTTTTATACAAATTTTTTTTGTCGCGTCAAAATAGAAAATTTTGGAATTAGGAAAATATATATATACAGTACCTCTGTGGTTTGTGAAATAAAATTCACGATATTGCTTATGAATTTTCTGCATTTCGAGAGGATAACACGTGATTGTAGGGTCCTGTGCATTTATGCATCTTCAGTAAATGAGGGGTACAGCTAAGGAGGGGTGGAAGAGAGAGATATTCTGAATTTTAAAGGTAACGGGATGAACGTCTAAGAGTAACTAAATATGTACCGTAGCGATCGACTCTAAAAACAGAAGGTAAATAACGATGCTTCACTTGGAGATTCAAAATGCACAGGAACTGAGGATTTATTTTTGGATTCAGTTGGTTTATTGCTCTAAAGAGTTAGGATTACGCCCTGCTACCCATAAAAATCCAATCGGTGGATTTATTTATTGACATAAAGTAATGATAGGTTACAGCTCATTTTATTTCTAGAGCTTCTCGCATCTAATTTTATTAAATCAACTGTAGGACTAAGCTAATGCCCACATATAAACATGATATGCCCATATTCCTCTATGAGTTTGCATTAGAGTAGGTGATGACAAGACAAACGAGTAAAATGAAGGATGAAAATGATGTCCCAATAACTCCTGAGGATATAGACATGCAGACGTTGCAGGTTTTAAAGAAGAGACTGGACAACCATTTGTCTGAAATAATATAGGTTTCCTGCCTGAGCAGAGGGTTATTCTGTCCTGTTCTATATCTTCAAAAGTTATTGGGACATCATTCATTAATAAACAATTAACTGACTGATGGTACAGGACTTGGAATGGTTTCCTAAATACTTATTTAAAAAAAAACCTCAACCACCCACAGTTATATAATGAATTTTAAATTGGTCATACTGCTATTCTTAAATTATGATGGTTTAAAATGGATCTGAATCAAAGGATACTCTAACCCAACCTGGGAAATTTCTGGCTTTGGTTGCCCAATAGCTTAACATGCTTTTGTTGCCAAACATACAGGTGAGGTTGTATTTATGCTTTTCTGAAAATGATAAAAAACCTATCTGGGAAAAAAAAAACCCTAACAACTCCTAAGTGGGAAACACGGATAGCTCTACTCCGTGTTTTATGCTAATTCAGTAATGTCATAGATGTATCTATGTGTTTCTCAACCTTAGCCACTTTGAAGATGGGTGGACTTCAACTCCCAGCATTCACCAGTCAAATTCTGGGATCTGAAGTCCAGAAACGTGAGCCTTCCCAAGGCTGAGAACACCGGTCTAAGGCAATCATTGGGGAACTTGGATCAAAATGCATGAGACAGTTGTGGAATCGGCAGCTGCATCCTCATTGATCCAGTAGCCCATCACGTTGCCAGGTTTCCTGGAACTGACCTGTGACCTCCCTATTCATTGCCCCTTGGCCCTCTCTTTGACCTTCATGGCTCACAGAAACTCCTTCTAATCCTTGACCCCTTTGGATGAAACCTGTGTCCCTGGCACTCTCAAGACCTGTGCCTATAGTTAAGAAGTCAATCCTTAGGAAAGCCTGCAATCTAATGCGATTGGACCGGTTGATCAATTTGGTGGAAAAAAACACCGTAATTGGTAGGATGGGTGTGATCAGATTTAGAGGAATCTAGTCACGTATTTGAGATGTGATTTGCTTTTCTTTGGCCTGTTCAATAAATTCCTAATTCTTTTCCTCTAGAACTCCTCCTGTTAAGAAACATGGAAAAAAAGGCAAATAATCCGTGTCTCCAGAGAAATTCTCATTTCAGTTTCAGCCTCCCTCCTTCAAAAGTTTTGGCACACAACTGGCACTGGAGGAGTGGCTACACAGTTAACGTCAATTATGGAATTACTTAGAGGGTCATTACTATGGGCTGTTTAAAATAATGTGGGTGGTCTTTTCAATTAAATGAAAAACTCACACCTTGCTATTGAGCAGCGCATTCCTCTAAATACAGGGCTTCTCAACTTCAGCAAATTTCATAGGTGTGGAGTTCAACTCCCAGAATTCCCCAGCCAGCACACCTGGGATATCTGGGAATTGAAGTCTACCATTTTTAATGTTGCTGAGATTGAGAAAAACTGCTCACATATCATTGGGGGATTTTAAATAGCTTTTTTAAAGGTTGTAATAATCTATTTAAGTAAATAAGTCTGAGGTGTCTGCAGGGAAGAAATTAAGAGTCAATCATGGCAACTACAAGCATCTAATCATTTTCACCTCCTCCCAGCAGACAGTTTAATTAATTATTTCAGTATAATAAAGACTGCTTTTTCCTTTATGTTTAATGCTGCTGAACACGGCCAGACTCTGCAGGTTGCACCAGATGGCAAACCTGGAACAATAAATAAATAAGTTAAAAGTTTATACCAAGTCGCACGAATGGTTGATTTTGCATAAGATTACAGGATGAAATTATATTTGGCACCTAAGGAAATCTTTCCGGACTGGTGATCTCTCCAATCCTCCACTCATCCCTTGTAGAATTTTTTTTAAAAAAATGTAGGTTAAAAGTGGCCTTGGAAAATCTTGCCACATTCTCCCAAAGTTTCTTTACTTGGGAAAAGCACAAAATAGTATCTAGAAATATTCAGGATTCATGATTTTGTTGTTGTTATTAAAAAAAGATAAAACAGTGGTTGTTTGATATGCATTATGGGTCAGTGTTAACTTATTTCCCCAACATATACTGTAAGCTAGGGGTGTCCAACCTAGGTCACTTTAAGACTTGTGGACTTCAACTCCCAGAATTCCCCAGCCAGCCACGAATGGGGAATTCTGGGAGTTGAAGCCCACAAGTCTTAAAGTGGTCAAGGCTGGACACTCTTGCTGTAAAGCCTCTCCTGTTGCTTTAGTGTGAATCTTTAACAGGGTTAAGTAGCCGAAAGTTGAGAATCCAAACAACTGACATTCCCTGGGGACAAACGTAGGTCTGTCCAGATTAGTTGCTCAATGTAAGAAGAGCCCCCATGTTTCTCAAAAGCGTTTTGACCCATAACTCTGTTCTCCCTGTTGAAGAGTTTGAAAGGTCCCTGAGCTTTAACCAAAACTTCTAAATTCTTGGGCATCTATTACCGATCACAAGATGGATTGTCATTCACAGTTAAGTCAATCATAAGGTGCTTATATACCCATTTTTCTCTTTTTTTCCAATTCGCACAAAGAACGGTCAGGAATTGTTGTGGTGAATGGCAGGGCCGGAACGAGAGAGGATTCGGGGTTTTGGCAGTGGCGTTAGGATTATTATCTGGCTGCCCCTTGACAACAGGTGATTCAATCGACATTCCTTAGCAAAAGAAAAAAACATCCCTCAGCCCCCACCCCACCCCAAACAACCACAAAAAACGACAACGTAAAACCCTGTATAACAAATATGTAATTTTCCCTGAGTAAAACCCGCAAGTGCTCTACGCGTCCATATTGCACTAGAGAGAAATGAACAACATGTGCAAAAAAAAAGCAACAAAGACGGAAGCTCACGAATACATCTTTGACAAGAATTATTTTGCGATGGCCTCACGCTTTATGGAATGTCGGAAACACAAAAGCACTTCCTTCCTTTCACCTACGATGTAACGAAAAAAAGACCCACCACCCACGCGCCTCTGCTATGGCACATTCAATGAGATCAAATGCTTTTTCCAAAGACAAGTAGACAAATTCCATCCACAAAAATAATACAAAGTTGGTTTGTTTTTTGTTTTTCTTTTTTAGAAAAATTACATTGCTTTCTTTCATTTTTTTTTTCACATTACAAAATCTTTTTTGTTTGTTTCTACCTTTACACAAATCACATTTTATTGCAGGAATATTTCAAGTGCCACCAAATATTTATAGAAGGGTTAAAAAAATAGAAGTCTCTCTAAGTGGTCCAGACAAGGCTTTATATAGAATATTTTTTCCACCTTCTATTTTTGACTTACATATCTTCAACACATTTTCTTTATTCCATGGACACTTAATGGGCTAACAACCACCATGCACCCCTACACCCCACACGTTCAAGAGAACACACCCATTCAGACCTTGATAACCTTATGACCATGAAAAGCTCCCTAAAAAGACAACCAGATTTGAAAGAATGTCACATATCATGTCAGTTCATAATTTTAAACAATATAAACATGACTGAGACAGAACTGTGCCATCAAGGTCCAGGACCGGAGGCCTTCTTCTAAATCAGTGCAATAGGTCCACCAAAAATAGGACGGGAGAACGAAAACCCAAATTAATTTTAACTGCCAGTTTTCTGGAGTTCACCTGCAGGTATATCGTGAAGCTTTTGATATGTCCCACCACCTGCTACACTTTATATCGCTGAATCCCAGCTGAAGTTTGTTATATCCAACAAGTATATTAGGCTACCAATTTTGGATGTTAAAACTTATTCCTGAATTTTATGTTTTGGCTGATGGTTTTCCCCTCTGATCTGATATTCAAAGTAGATATTGCTAATTACACGTGGACTCTCTCTCAGCATTTTTCATAAGAGATTATCAGCACCATTTTAGCCTTATCAAAATACAGTTTGCTATTAACTAAAAGGAGATGATCAGAACAGAGCAAGCCATGGTATTCCCTGTGATCCTTCCCTGAAGAATCAAGGAAGGAAGAGGATGGATGCTTTTGAGACTTTTGAGAAGAACATCAACAGCTAGGAAAGTTTTCTTTAAAAATGGATCATCCAACAAGTCAATCCAGAATTCTCACCAATGGCACAAAAGACACAAAAGCTCAGATTGTCCTCTTTTGGATGCTTTATTTGAAGACTTAACTCTCTGGAAATAGGTCTCATGTGGGAAAGGTGGGAAGGAAAGCGAAGAAGAGGATGATCGGCAGGAAGGTGGTGGGATTCAGGGACAGTGCTGAAGGGGACACTGTTGGAAGACTCAAGGGACCGAGTGAAGGACAGACGGTCATGGAGAGAATCTAAGCGCTTGCTAAGAGTCAACAACTTGGTGGCACATAATTAATCAATCAATTTAAGGACCCAAAGTCCTACAATGCTGGGAAAGAGAGAAGGAAAGAGAAGAGGATGGCCACCTATTGCTGTAACCCAGTTTGAAAAATCTGAAAGACCAGATGCAGAAAATCTATCTTGAAGGTAATAAGAGTTGGCACAGACTTGATGGCACTTGATCAATCACCTGAAAAGAAGACAATGCTCCATGTCAGAACAGTGGAAATTTACAAGCAACCAGAAGCTCCTACTATTAGCACTTAATTTAAAAAATGAGCTGTAAATAATGCTGATTTCCAAACCGAAAGTCAATTTTTTTTCTTTCATAGAAATGACAGGACATGAGCAAATGGTTTGCGTACATACATGATCCTACAGAAGGTATGATGAAGCAGAGGATGAAAGTATTAGGATTGCAACCTTGGTCACTGGCTCTAAACATAACTTGAAGACCAGGAATCCAACTGGAACTTCTGGTCACTTTGAGGGAACCTTCTCCAAGATTTTGAAGTGGTCCAAGGAGCAAATGGAATGTCAAAAGGAGAACTGGGGTCCAACTTGTGTCACCCCTTTTTGGATCAGATTTTGCATTTGCATAGGTGGATTTCAGTGGCCATGATATAAATCATTCTTAATATAGAGCTTCTTGCTCATGATCCCAGGTGCAGGTGGCTAAAGTGTAGCATGTGGTAGGCATGAATTCAGATTGCTTTAGATTTTGAAAGGCGGAGTGACCGAGAAATCAAGATGCCGGTGGCAATTCTGGGATCCAAGCCGCCGACATGTTTAACCACCTCCCATGGGCGCTTCAGTTTGGAACAGATTGTAAAGCAAAGGGACAAGTAGCACCTCTTGGTTTACAAAGAAAGTAGCCACACGTAAGAGCAGGTTTTTTTAACAAGCCTCCAGCTGTGTCACAACTCAGCAAATAGTTGGGTTTCCATGCACTGAATACAAGATTTAAGTCCATGGACATGATCCACGAGGAAAAAAAATTGTATGTACCCTACCTGTCTTAATTTGTTGAATCTGTTTCTCTACACACACACACACACACACACACACACACACACACACACACACAAAATGTAAACAAAAGTATTAGGACCAATATTTCCAAAACACAAGTGTCTAAATTTGGTTGTCAGAATCCACATTTACTCACTCCAGGAAATGGGCTGATTTTAAAAAGGAGTTGCTAAAAAACCAACACATTTGTTAAGTGATTAAACATAGCTCTATTTTTTTTTCTTTTCAATCCCCATTGTCAGTAATCTGGTTTAAAAATAGGGATTTTTTTTTTTTTGCTTCTCCAATAAAATCATAGTTTTAAGACCCAGAGAACGGTTTAGAAACTTGACTTCCCTCCTCCCTCCCTCCCTGCCCCTTACACAAGACCACGGAAGGGCATCTCATGACCTGGGCCAGCCTCTCTGCCAAAGGAAACGTGGAAAATAGCAGCACAACCTCCTTTGCAGGGTTCTCCTCTCCCTTCCAACCCTCCGTTAAAACTTGGATTTCTGGTGTACATGCAGCACAAACATTGAACACGCCAGCATATAATTTAAAAAGAAAAAAAGGTGCAAAATGAAAGTGCCTTATCAATTCAACAATAAAAGCTATACCAGTTAACTACAATTTTTATATTAATTAAAACAATATATAAACAATATCATCTCTTTTGCTATATATTGACTTCATGCCCATTTACCCTGTAATAGATTATAATGCTATTGCTATGGACTCTTTTCATGCCATTCCGCCTGGCGGCAATCACGGTACGGTGAAAAGACATCGTCCTTCATGAAACAATGAGCAAAAGTTGTGCAAAACTGATGAAGCGAAGCCTCTGCAGTGCACACCAGTCGCTGGAGTCGAGCTGGAGATTCGGTTCGGACCTTGTTCGGCGAGCGTCTCTGTGGGCAGTGAGTTACAAGGACAGAGGAAAGCCCTCCTTCTGTGTAAACAGAGGCTGAAGACTGAGAAGTCCAGGCAGGGGGGAAAGGGTCCCTTTGGTGGGCATCGCAGCAACGGGACCAAGGAGACAAGGAAGTCCAACCCTTGTTTCGTTCCCCCCCCCCTCCTTCGCCTGGCACCGGTGCCCGGAAGATGTGCAGTGTGATGGCTCCCTACGTCTCACGCAGGGCCACGAAAGTGTCTCAGTTGAATCTCTTTCTTCTCTCTTTCTGCTTGAATGTTTGTCCCTCAGAGCTTCTAGAAGGCTTGAGAAGATCCCTTTACCCTTCCATCTGCACCGTTGGCTCAAATTCTGAAGTGAACAACTCCTTGTACAAGGGAGGAAAATGAAGTCGCACAATCTCTGGATATATTGCTCTGAACGCCATGAGCTTTTCTGTATGTCGTCCACACAGGGCTCTTAAGGTAGACACTTTGCATATTAGCTGTGAGGGGAAACAGATGAGGGGGTCAGTGAAGGGCTTGGCCATTATTTTCCAGGGGGGAGGGGGCATCAAGGGAGGGGCCATAAAAGCTTTCAAGCATCCTTAGAGACCATGGGGTGAGGTCACAGTGGCAGGAGAACCTCATGGGTTGCGTCAAGGAAAGACCTGACTCCTTCACTGTAAGCTGCCCAGAATTTGGTGTTAAAATGGGCTGCTTTGCCAATGTTTTAAATGAGGAAAATATTACAAAGTTGTGAGTGCTGTAAGATACGACCTCTCTAACTGGTTCCTCGTCTTTCATTTATTCTACTTGTTCCCTTTTTCCGTCTTAGGGTCTGCAAGGCGACAGGGGTTAGAAAAGCTGAGGGAAAATGGGGGGGGAGTCCTTCCCCTATAATCAAATGCTATCTTTCAGAAGCATTATGGGTTATAGGTGAGTATGGGACCCATAATGCTCATCTAGCAATAGTGGCCTTCTCTTCTAGTAGCAATGTCAAAAAAAGAAAAGGATATAAAGAAAGTTGGATTCCTTCCAAGAGGAAGAATGATACTTCATACAATTTTAAGAATTACATTAAAATGGCTGCATAAATAATGCTCAATTTCTGAAGAGTTAAGCTGACACCCGACCCAACCCTGAGATTCAAAGTCTTTGACTCCAGTTCAGCACCTACAGCAACTCCAGAAGAGAGAAATACTTGATCTAATGTTCTCTAGAGCACTTCCTCATAATTGGTTCACTTTTATTATTCAGGTTTATTAAATAATCACTGCAATTTTCCTCCATCACATTTTAAACAAGCATCCCAGAATATGCCATAAAGGATGCTGTTCATTCAGTTGAAAGTTGGGCTGCTGGTCTAGCGACTTCGACTTTCAAGTGCAAAAGGTTGTGGCAGATTCATTACCTTTGTTAATATTCCATCTTCCCGATGGTTTTTCTGCAGTACATGTTGAAGCGCAAACTGAATTTTTTGCTGGAGCTTTTCAATTTTTACCTTTTCCTGAAGCCATGATCGATCTAAAAGTAAAGGAAGAGTGGGAAGGGCCATTCAGGTGGTTCTTCTCAATTACAATTTGCAGATATTATATTTATTGGGTTGACGTGTCGGGGGAGCTCCACTACCACAAACAGAGCAATCCAGCTCTGCTGATGGTGCACCAGTCTCAGCTGACTGGCCATCTTCAATTCCTTGGTAGAAAGCAAGAGAGGTTGAAGAGCACCTGATGGTTCTCCATCCTCTTCTTGTTTCTTTCTAGAAATGGTTCACATTTTCTCTGAAGTTTTGGGGATCAGGCAAAATAGCACTAGCAATAGCCCTTAGACTTATCTACTGCTTCACAGCCCCCTCTAAGCGGTTTACAGAGTCAGCCTATTTGCTCCCAACCATCTGGGTCCTCATTTTACCCACCTCGGAAGGACGGAAGGCTGAGTCCATCTTGAGCCTGGTGAGATTCGAACTGCCAAATTTTGCAGGCAGCCAGCAGTCAGCAGACGTAGCCTGCAGTACTGCACTCTAACCACTGCACCACCAAGGCTTTTAAATATTAGCTGTTGGTCTTTAAAAGGCTTTAAAGAGTGAGAAGAGAGCTGTTGAGTCTACAAGCTTTAGGAGACCACGAAAGAGCTCATCCGTGCCATGTCATTCCTCTCCTCAAACATCTATTTGACTATCAGAATTACCAAAGTAAGCGATGAAGTCAGGTTTTCGATAACAAAACCTGCAGACTATTGGAACTAAACTAACTATATTGCTCTGAAGGAAAAGCCCAATATTTTGGCTCAGGGGCAGAAAATACTCAAGTGGGATTTCATACTCTTGGAATATCACCAAAAGGTTAATTTGAAAAAGCAAAATTACTTCCTCGGATTGACGTCTTACCTGCAGATAGTAAAACGAAAGCTGAGAATAATGCAATCTCGTCTTCAGTAAGGTGCATAGAACATAAACTCTTTCCAAATTCAAAAACAAAACTAATGAAATCTTCACAGCCTGCGAAATAAAACAGTCAAACAGGGTTTCTTCCAAAGAATGCAACATAGGACAAAAAAAAAAATTTTTTTTTCAGCCCCTGCTTTTGCATTTAGTATACTAAAACTCTGCTTGGTATATTTTTCTAGCTTAAACCCTTAATTTTTCAATTTAAATGTCAGGGTACCATTGTGTGATACTTAAGTCCCATGGAAGGCTAAAGAACTGTAATTAAATTGTGCCCCTGGGTATTTATGATTAATCCTTTGAGTTATTTCTGTACAATATATTTGTTTGGGATAAAAAATTAGTTCTCGAAAAGCAGCATTTTTTAGAAATGACGTTTAGAATATTAACACATCCTAATGAAGCATTTATTGCCTTACCTAATGATTTGAATACATCTGGGCCAGCGTATTTGCCATCGAAGTACACTGTGTTGTTCTGAGAGTCAAAGGCACGGCACATTCTGATAAATACAACCTCTAAAGACCCTAAACGAAACAGGAAAAGACTCTTCAGTGGCATCATTAGGTCTGTCTTAAAGAAATAACAGGCTTCAGGTTGCCTTTAAAAGTGGGTCTTGTTCACCAAGGACACCTTGTTATGGGCTGCAACTTCATTTTCAATTGTGTATGTTGCTTATTAAATCAATGTCATCTATTTAGTGTCTATATAAAACTAATGGGGAAAAAAAAACAGTATTTTCTTCACTTATTCTTAAAGGATCTTCTAGGCTAGTCTTTCTCAACCTTGGCAACTTGAAGAAGGGTGGATTTCAACTCCCAGAATTCCCCAGTCAGAATGGGGAAGGCCACCCATCTTCGAGTTGAATACTGGGAGCTGAAGTCCACCCATCTTCAAGTTGCCAAGGTTGAGGAACAGCACTTTAGACTATGTAAGAGTTTTATGGGTTTCTCTAAAAACCTTTCAGCAACATGTCAGAAATAATTATTGTACTTTTACGGGAGCGATTCTAGGATTAACTGAAACAAATGTGGATTTCAGCATCTGCCTTACTGTCACATAATTTCCTTCTCTGGGTTCTTCTTTACCACCAAGAAGGAACACATGACTTCCTCAAAGGCTAAGGTTACATTCTCCATGCAATCCATGACATGATGAACAAGGATTTCAGGAGATTGCAGGGGGTCTTAGTTAAGTTTAGCAACCACACGCTCTTCACTAACGAACGGAGTTTCTACGTTTCATGTTTTATTCATCATAAAGGGCTTCTTCCTGTCATTTTTAAAAATTTAACTGTGGGTTGTTGGTTTTTTAGCAGCAATTACTAGTCCCCACAAACAGAGCAACAGAGAAACCTGTGATTGACAATAATTGAGTGGAAAGTTTGTAGTTTTTTAGCTGTTGGGAAGATTGGATTCCCGTTGCAACCCACACTGCACAACCCTTCAGACAGGCAAAGGCGTTTCACAAAAGGCACGAACCTGCTTTCAAAAGCACAATTTGATCGTTTTGGCATAGTTCCATAAAACCGTCGATGCGTTTGGCAAATTCTACGACATACTGTATTGCTTCTGTTATCTTCACCGCACATAACTGCCACATGACCTCTCTTTGCTGAGGAAGAGAAAGAAAACCCGAGTCCTTCATAATGCTTGCCAAACTTTTCCCAGGAAAGACTCCGAGCAATTAAAATGCACTCGATCTTGAAGGAAATCGGAGCATCAGTTTGGACTTCAACAGCCCCACTGCTAGTTTCAGATCACCTTTTCTTTTTCAAATTTGCAAGTTTAATTGCAATACACTGATATTTCCCCCCCACTTTTAAAACCTACATCGCAAAGCGCTTGGAACCCAGGGAAAGGGGTGGCTGACATCGACGCAATCGATCTTTCAAAGAAACAACCCCATTGGCTGGAAAAAATACCTTGCTCTGGTAGTTCTCAATTTCCTCCTGCAGAAACGTTTGCCAGGTGATCTGTTGAAGCTCTTCCCTCAAGTACTGGCAGGTTTCCATGTGTGACTTAGAGATGTTTTGCGCAAGGTGTTCTAAAAAAGCAAACGTTCGCACGCATTAGCCAAGACGCTGCACAGATTTCTGGGTGCAACTCCTGACTAACTGGCCCGTTCTCATTAATCTACCCGGGGCTGAAATGAGCTCCTTAACATCTGTTTGCATTCTTCTCACCCTGACTTCTAATTCTGATGGTCACTGTGCATGATGGATGATTGGCCCTGGATCCAAGCAATTCTGGCTAAGCGGCTCTTTTTTCAGCTTTAAGATACAAACTCTCGTGATGGCTGGCTGAGGGAACCTGGCATTTGTCTGAATGGCACCGTGACCCATGATTGCTTGATGACGAGGAGAGGTGGCTAAGTAATGGGTAGAATAGAATAGAATAACAGAGTTGGAAGGGACCTTGGAGGTCTTCTAGTCCAACCCCCTGCCCAGACAGGAAACCCTACACCACTTCAGACAAATGGTTATCCAATCTCTTCTTAAAAACTTCCAGAGTTGGAGCATTCACAACTTCTGGAGGCAAGTTGTTCCACTGATGAATTGTTCTCACAGGAAATTTCTCCTGAGTTCTAAGCTGCTTCTCTGCTTGATGAGTTTCCACCCTTTGCTTCTTGTCCTGCCCTCAGGTGCTTTGGAGAACAGCTTGACTCCCTCTTCTTTGGGGCCGCCCCTGAGATGGGTAGGGAAGGAAACTGTAGCATCCAGATGCTGCTGCACTGTATTTTAATGCTGTTCAAAGCATCTTTTGGAAGGAATGAACTAAGGAGCTAGTCAAATAAAGAGTACAGATCACACATTCACTCTTTTATACTGGGGTGATTTTCCCCAACAGTGAATAATTATCCCATATTACCTGCAAGAAAGAGGCTGTTATTGCTACATTCATCCAAGAACAGAAGGGTTTGCTTAAGAGTGGCCCTTGGATTACAATTACACTTAGGATCTGAATTTCCATTGTTAAACAAGGTAGTTGTTAAATGAATTCCACCCAATTTTACAACCTTTTTGCCATGATTGTTCAGTGAACCCCTGCAGTTGTTAAGTGAATCCTGCAGTCGTTAAACAAATCCAGCTTCCCCCATTGACTTTGCTTATCGGAAGCCAGATGGGAAGGTCGCAAGGGTGCGATCACATGACCCTGAGCCTCTGCAATCATCCTAAATACAACAAGGCCCAAAGTTTGATCATGTGACCATGGAGATGCCACAACGGTCACAACTGCAAGGACTGAATGTAAGTCACTTTTTCAGTGCCACTCTAACTTAGAACGATTGCTAAGCAACCAGTTGTAATTCAAGGACTGTCTTTCATTGTTGCACACAATTGTCCTTCAAACAGATTTCATGTGGGGCGAAATGATAAATATTTTTCACCACCAAAAAAATATATATTTCAGTTGGCCAAGATTTGGTAGACAGAGCCATGTCTTACTTCTTTGTGCAAAGGGGCAGTTTTACACACCAGGCTACGCTGGTTTCACAAGCAAATTTTAACCATAGATAAGGCAGCCCCCAAATAATATCAGATGAAGCAGCTCGGTTTCAGAAGCCATTAAATGTGGGAGTCCCAGAAATACTGTAACTGCAGTAATAACTAACTAAAGACTTTCTCTGTGGAAGTGAATGAGAGTTATACAAGAATACAGCACTGTAAGTTTATACCCCATTTTCATAAGGCCCATTTTTGAATTTTCTGCATTCCACATCAGAGCTTGAATGAAGGTGGTATCTGCTCAGGTTGCAGATTACTAAACTTCCCTAGGGCCATTGGCCATCTCCATCGAAAACCTGCCTGTTGGGTCATCATTACTGCTTGGGAAGAGTTAGAAGGTCATCTCCCTTTCAGAAAACAACCAATACTGCTCTAACCCAACGTTCACAACCCAATGTTCCCTTTCTTGAGACAGCCTGGAAGGCCAGCAAAGATAAAACAGCCAAGCTGAGGGTGTCCTTGGTGCTCTTTGAGGTGGGTGGCTTCCTTGCAGATGTTTCATGACCCAAACTGGGGAACGTCATCAGTGCCAATCAAACAGCCAATCTATCAACCCACAAGGCCCAAGCTGGGATGGAGGATTACCAAGCCACTCTTCCTGAGCCGAGTTGTATCTAGAGGAAAGGGCTGAATTCTAGGCCCGGAGAGCCTCTTGGGAGGGCGGGGTGTTGCTTTCCATCCAAAGGCAAGCAAGAGAGCAACTACGGGACGGTTCCCCCCTCTTTGTTATTACCTAATTCTGCCATGGACACAGTAGGAGAGGTCTCCCCATTGGTAAAGGAGCAATATGGAAAGAAGCCCGTCGTGGGAGTGTAGTCACAGACTGGTTCTGGTTTGATGCCATTAATATCAAGGCCCGATTGGTCTGGAGAAGGTTGTATGTCTAAGTAGAAGCTGCTAACCGCAGAGTTGCCTTTGCTACCTTCAGGAGAGTGACCATCTATGTAATTACTGAGGTCATCGTGCAGGTCCGTCAGGCCATTAGCCGTGATGCTGTAGCTCGGGGTCAGCGGCTCCGCTTCTCCGGGGGGCTGTTGGTGGTCTCGTTGCTGCTGCTGCATCCGATGCTTCTGGACCTCTGCGTACAAGCTGTCCCTCTGTTTTTTGGACATGCGGCCAAACTTGACAGCTGGAAGAGAGTCCAAAGCAACAGATCCGGTCACCTTCCCTTACCCCCAAGGCCGGCTTTGGGGAGGCGGCTGCATTCCAAGGCACAGCCGCAAGATTCAAAAGGGCAAAAAATCCAAAGGGCCGTTTGATATGGGTGGGGGGGGAGAGGGGGAAACACCCACCCACTCACTGATCAGGCCTAAATTTCAGCTAGATAAAAAAGCACAAAGGTGTTTTACTTGCCTAAGTGCCTAAATTTTGGATTCTCTGATGCAAAAGGTTTTTTTTTTTTCTGAATCACAGCACTCTGCACCTCTGATGTCATTTAAAGACAATCATTTTAAACCCTGTTGGGATTCCCGCCTGTCTGAACACTCAGTTTTCAGAATACATCTGGAAAGGAAGGGAGGAGGGAAAAGGGGAAGGAAGGAAGGAAGGAAAGAAGGAAGGAAGGAGAGAGGGAGGGAGGGAGGAGAAATGTGAAGCCACCCTTTGCCATGTGAGGAAACTTCTTTGTGAGAAGGATACATGGCTTCAGTGGTAGTGTGGAATGCCACAATAACCTTGGGGCGCAGTAACCCCTGAGGCTACTGAAGAGAGTGGATTTCAAAAGGAAGCGCTGGGAGGCCGTGGAGGAGCACCCAAAAGCCCAAGAGAGCCCAGGAAATCTCACCGTCTCGCGACATCCCCACGGCCAGGCATTTCTGCAAGCGGCAGTGCTGGCAGCGGTTTCTGCTGGTTCGATCAATTAAGCAGTTTTTTTGGCGAGGGCAGGAATAGGTGGCATTGCTCTGCTGGCTCCTCCTGAAGAAGCCCTGCGGAGGAGGAGGGAAAGAAGGCGGTCAGTGTGCTATAGAAGTTCATTTAGTGACCATTTGAAGTTACAACAGCACTGACAAAAATGACTTAGGACCTTTTTTTACACTTAATGACCGTTGCAGCCTCCCTGTGGTCACATGATCAACATTTCAGGCGCTTGGCAACTGGCTCGTATTTATGACGGTTGCGAGATCCTGGGATCTCATGAAGGTTCCTTTTGCGACCTTCTGACAGGCAAAGTCCATGGAGAAGCCAGATCTACTTCACAACCGTGTGACTAAACAACTGCGGCAAGAAATGCAGCAAAGCTCACTTAATAACTGTCTCACTTAGCAACGTAAATGTCTGGCTCAACTGTGGTCATAAGCCGAGAACTTTACCCCTGGGGTCCATTCTTAGGCCAGGCCCTAAGAGCATCACGATCTTGCTGGCTGGGGAATTCTGGGAGTTGAAATCCACAAGTCTTAAAGTGGCCAAGGCTGGGCACCCCTGGTCTAAATCCTTTGCTCGGAAGCCCCGAGAAGGCCGAGAAGGCCGGGGAATTGGTGGGAAAAGAGGAGATGGTTTCCCTTCCTCTCCAAAGAAAACGAAGGGCCCATTCTTGACTTCTGTTTTCCTTTCGTCTGACTGCTTGGGGAACCTGGCGGAGCTGAGAGCCTCTAAGCTTCTGTTTGGTCTTTTGACAATTTTCATTTAATGAATTGATTCCTACAGTTCATTAACATGCCCACTTCCACTTCTGTATACACATATGTCTTAATTAGCTGCTCATTGGCTGTTTAATTACAAGAAAACAGCTGACAGCTGCCTTCTAATGGCAGCCTTCTAAAAGGGATACACACCAGCCTGTAACAACAAAGGCTTATTCATAATCTCATGATTTATAGCTAACACTTACAGATTTCCATGTATCATTACCTTTCACAATATTCCAATAATTGCCAATTAGGAACCAGGGAGTTGTTTTTCCCTTACTCTACCAATTTTCTAACCCTAATTCTGGATTTTTAAAACAAACACACTTAAAACGCACACACACACCTCTATTCTACTTTCAGAACTTTGGGAATACTTTGCAAAGAATTTATCTACCTTCTGGCCTGGAAATTCAACTTCTGCCCCGAAATTTAGGATATTATTTAATCACTGTTCAGGATGTCCCAAAAGTGCTTTTTCAAAAGACAACTGGACTTCCTAGTTTTTCTTTGAAGACATTTTGTTTCTCATCCAAGAAGCTTCTTCAGCTCTGACTGGGTCCTTCCATTCCCCACTTTCCAGTCAGAGCAGAAGAAGCTTCTTGGATGAGAAGCGAAACTTCTTCAAAGAAAACAAGAAAGTCAACTTGCCTCTTGAAGAAAAGCACCTTTGGGATGGACAGTGAAGGCTTGCATTTCTGTTGCAATGTAACCGGTACACTGAGGGCCCTGCTAGATCTCTAAGAAAAGTACCAGAGAGGAGAAGGAAGATTTTTTTAGCAGAATTTCCATCTAGCAAAGCCTCATCAGCCTGAAGCATAGAAAGCAATTTAGCCACAATCTTTCTAAAAAGTGTTTTTTCTTTCTAGGAACGTCTCTTTCAAGAAAGAAAATTCAGGAAACAGAATGTATTCCTGGACACTCAGAAGGGACGTTGATCCTGCTTAGAACATTAGAAATAGAAGAAGATTCCAGGGGAACCTCCAGTTGCATGATAAGCCAACGTCAAGACACCAAGGTCAAGCGGGGGTGTCCAACCTGGGCAACTTTAAGACGTGTGACTTCAACACTCAGAATTCCCCAGCCAGCCATGCTGGGAGTTGAAATCCACAAATCTTAAAAGTTGCCAAATTTGGACAGCTCTGCCCTAAAGGCTTTTCTCCTGCTCTGCTGCTACCAACAGCAACACCCCCCCCACACACACCCCGTGAAAGTAAAGAGAAGTAGGACGAAGTATAACGGGCAGTCCCTCAACGCTTCAATTGTTGAAATTGTGTGCCCGATTTGCTCCCTGAAATTTAGACCAAAGCTGTTCCAATATGTAACAGATGTCCTTTTTCATTTCAAGGGCAGGATGAAAAATAAATGCTTCCCAACAGGATGGCTGCAGAGCTTCAGGAGAGAAATTGCAACCGGACGTTTTAAAATCCATCCACGGCAGATTATGGATATTGCTAAACAGATTCAATATTTCATCTTGCAGAAAGACAAATAAGTCAGTGGATAAACAGATACAATAATGTCCTCTCTCTCACATACACGCAACACAAGTGTGTTTGTGTGTGTGTGTGTGTGTCTCTCTCTCTCTCTCTCCCTGTGCGTGTATAACATAAAGCTTACCTTGCAGCCCTCACAGGTAATCACACCATAATGGATTCCTGAAGATTTGTCTCCGCAGATCTTGCATGGAATAATTTCAATTTGAGCTGCAACAGAAGCACGCCACCAGTTAATTATATTTTCTTTTAAATACCTTATAAAAAGCATTCCCTGATCAGCATTTGTACATTGAAAACTAATAACCTGCTCAACATTCTACCACATTAACTATTCATTGCTGAACGGTGCGGGTTCCCCCAGGGCCTTGTACTAATTTATGGCTGCTTGTTATATAATAGCTTTCAGGTTATTAAAATGGGTCATTTGAGAGGGTGCTTTAAAATGCACAATGTTGTCAGATTTAGTGTCTCCCAACCTAGGAGGACTGGACTCAAGAGATCTCCCTTTGGCCAAAACGGTGCAGAGAAGAGAAACCACAACAGATCTAAAGTACAATTGCATTGATCTCGTAAAAGCTAAATCGCTAGCAAAGACGTTGCCGTTCAGATAAAATTCCAATAAAGTTGGATTACTCAAATCTTGGCCCATTGGGTAAGAAACCATGGAGACTAAAAATATCATTTTGCAGCCTGACTTCCCTGTTGCTGGGATGGGCTCATAATATGCCACGTCTGCCCATTTCGTACCCTCCCAAGGATCAAGAGTCTCCCCCAGTATCTGCTGTCTTTCAGATGTCTTGGATGACCGAGACCATCCTCCACCTGGCCAGCAGGGCCATCACATCTGGCGGACTATAAATTGGGGAAGATTTTCTTAGCTCAACAGATAAGCTTCCAAATTATACAAAATGAATTCATTCCAGGCGAAGATAAATTAGTTATAAATTGGAAATCATATTTAAGTAAGACATGGGGCGATTCTGATGGGTTACACTGAAGTCTTCTCATATGGATCACCTTGCCAGTCTTCTGAATGACCTTGGCTCAGATCTTCAAGAAGTGCCTTGTAAGAAACCCAGCTGTTCTTTCAAAGGGACAAAACTCCCACCCTGCACTCAACCATTCTCCACAAGACCTTCAAGCCCCTCCACACCTTTTCAGATTGACAGACTGTCAAAAGTTAAAGCAGAGTTCATTCTCTTGTTGACGTCAATATTGTTGCCGAAAACCTCTTTTTTTTTAATTTAAAATTTTTATTATAAATTAGAAACATAAAACAAAATAAAGACTATAACGAAACACAATCACATACATACGACTGAGGTTGATTCAACCCCCATATATATACAGTTTCTAAATAACATTACATATCATCATACTACAGCTTCAGTTTGATTTATCATACTGCATCTTGCATTTGTTAATCTTATATCTAATATTCCCTTATTTATATTTAGCTTGCTATTTACATTTCTATGCTACATGCTTCCCTAACATCTACCTCATGACATTTTCACTTCTATCCATTGGTACCATTTATCCCAGCTGCCAAAATTGCCTTGGAAAAAGAAGCAGCCTACCTATCTGTGTCTGTTTCCTGAAACGTAGTCACTTAGTCACAAAATAAAAGAGAAGTCGAGAAAGTAGGAACAGGAGAAATATTTTTTTAAGAAAAATGGAGAAGGATTATATTCACAAACGTTCCATTCAGAATAATGCATAAACTACATAAGCTTCTTCCCTCTGTAAAGCAGAAAGCTACACTTATCAAAAAGTGACAGCAATTTTTCTTAGAAAAGCCCATTTCTGCTCCTTCTCAGTCGACTGATTAAATATGCCGCTATACAGTCCCTGACATTCATACATATTTAGGAGCACAAATAAGAATTCCCCTTCTAATGGAGAGGAAGCAAGCAGCTGAATTAAACAAGGCCTGTTTGACTACCTAACATCCTAATAGCAGAGCGTTTTCAGCTCCATTACCTAAATAATTTTCGAGGCGCCCTAAAGTAATTCGTGATTATTAGATATGATTCACCTAAATCATCCAAAGCTTGTAACAATGTTTGGGCTTTGACAAGCTCTTAGAGTGAATGTATGGACAGGGTAGGAGGGAATATTTCTTAAAAGGGCCAGGCACTGTCTTGACTAAGTATATTCTCAAAAGCACTGTTTCTCAGCCTGGGCAGCTTGAAGATGTGTGGACCAACTCCCAGAATTCCCCAGCCAGCATAGCACCCAAATTTTGGGAGTTGAAGTCCACACATCTTCAAGCTGCCCAGGTTGAGATAGACTGCTCTGAAGGAGGGTCTCTAGAACTGAGTTTTTACTTTCTATATTAGCTAAACTAGACTTTGCCAACATAGCAACTGGATGATGACAGGATAAGGACTCGGTTGTTTTAATGGGAGTGAAACGAGGGCTGCATTCGCACCCTCATGCATTCGCTAACGGGCCTTCTTGGTTGAATCAGAAACACGGGTATCTTGGAAACCAGTATGTGGCCGAAGAAAACAGGACAGCAATTAAAATCAGCAGCCACTGTACCAAAGTTACTACATGCAAAAAAAAAAAAAAAAGGAAAAATGCTAAGGGAATCAGTTTAAACATGCACACTGGTACAAAAAGTGCTTGTAGGATTACAACTTCCTCTCTCCACAAAGGTGTGACCCAGAGACCAGCAACTGCCACATAGCCCAGGGATATGATTTACTACCTGTGTTACAGATCCGTCCACCCAGAAGCATTCAGATCAAGGTAAAGTAGCATCACAGCCTTAAAAGAATGACAAGGCAACATAAAAATGACCCTTGCTGTACACAAAATACTTCAACAGCAGCACTCTCCTAGTGTCAAGTCTATTACATGCAAAGGCAACATAATTCCTCTTAAAGGATGAAAAAAAGGGGGGGGGGAATGCTCTCTGTGGCCACTAGGTGTCACTCGCGTCCATGAAATTGATTAAGGAAAAAAACATTTAAATCCGTGTCCTTTAAGTACTTGGCCCTTATGGATCATCCCTGCAATAAATAAAAATCGATTCTGGATTTCTACCTCTTTGTGTTCTTTCCTTTTACAAGAACCTGGTGATGGACACGCTTCCAAATCACTTGAAGGCCTTTCACACGTTCAATAGAAGAGATCTTTGACAACTGATTAATCATGTTGTGGTATCTCAAAATCCTTCTGTGACCTTGTAAGAAATTCTGGAGCATCCTTTCCAGCTCAAATGCTGCCCTCAAAAAACCTTTTTTCTTTTGATCCCCCCTTTTTTTGGGATGTTGGGGGTACGGTAGCTTGACGGCTGAAGCAGAGAAGCTGCAGATACTGACGGAACCGAGACTGCCACAAGATGTAACATGATTTACTGGACCATCCTGGATTGCAAAAATGAGCTGGAAGGGAACCCCAAGGTCGGTGCAGCGATGGATCAGGACTGAAAACAAGGAGCCGGATCAAAGTAGGATGGAAACACAAATGCAAGAAGGCAGGAAATCAACAGGAAGATGGACAGTTCAGGAGAGGATCAGGCTGGCCTTGAGGCCAAGAGACAGGCAGATACCGATGAAAATGAGAGATGATCCAGACAGAATTCAAGACTGGGAATTTCCTAGGCAGAAATCCAACTCTGACAGGAACCTTACCTGGCTTGAGAAAGGAAAGAACGGAGAAGGGAGGGATGAAAGCTCTATCATGAACTCCATGCTTGTGCATGCTGCTTAAGGAGGGGGTTGGACTAGAAGACCTTCAAGGTCCCTTCGGACCCTACGATTCTATGTTCTTCCACGGTGATGCAGTGGTTAGAGTGCAGTACTGCAGACTACTTCTGCTGCCGGATGCCTGCAATTTGGCAGTTCAAATCTCAATGGTTCAAGGTTGACTCAGCCTTCCGTCCTTCCGAGATGGGTAAAATGAGGACCCAGATTATTGGGGGCAAGAGGCTGACTCTGTAAACCACTTAGAGAGGGCTGGCAAGCACAGTGAAGCGGTATATAAGTCTAAGGGCTGTTGCTGTTGCTATTGCTATTTCCTTCCTCAATACCAAGAAAACAACTCCTTGGCCTGCAGTGCACTATGAGGGCGTCCTTCTGAAGCCCAGAAGAGCAAGTCCATCGTATTAGCCTCGAGAAACAAATGGTCAAAGTGTTTCTGCCCTGCCCTGCTAAATGCTTTGGGTCCAAGATAGACAGACCAACAAACCATGCTGGCTCTTTGAGCGAGGTCCCCTAAGCAAAGCAGAAGATTCTGGATTTGGGCAAGGTCCCTGGAAGGCACAACCTACCCTCCTTCGAAGATGCTTTTCCATAAGACAAGGGGACTTGGGATTTTTTCTTTGAAAACGTCTCGCTTCTCACCCAAGAAGCTTCTTCCATTCTGAAGAACAGAAGAAACTTCTTGGATGAGAAACAGAATGTTTTCAGAGGGAAAAAAATAACAAAAAAACCAAGGAAGACTAGTTGCCTTTTGGAAAAAGCCTCTTTGGGACAACTATGATCTGATGATCGAGAATATCCATCGACGAGAATTCGGTTTGTTACTTTGTCTCATCTTCCCTTCCCCAAAAGCTGGCTTGGTCCTCTTGGTGCCAGGACTCCTGTGTCCAGTAAGTCACTCCTGCACAGGCTGTCCTGAAACCTACAGGTCAACCATCTCTTTCCGGCTGAAAAATCCTGACTCTGAAACTCTTCAAGCAAACATTTCATCCTCCCATTTAACAATAAGGAAAAGATGTCTCAAGGCATTGAAGAATCCTTGAAAATATGAATGCGGTTGAAACAGAAATAGAAATAATTATTCTTGGTTGATCTGCCAGATGTTTCAAGGCCTGGGGCGAGCTGTGTCAGGAAGATTTGACTGGGTGCGGGTGCCCATCAAGGCTTTGCCACCTCGGCTGCATTCAGATGGAAAAACCCAGCCCCCTCTACCTCCGTCCCGACTGGGCTTGGCAGGACCCTGAACTTCTACAGAGGTTTTTCCCCCAGACAGACCATGGTTGGTATGGCTCAGCTTGTAGCCTTATCACTGTTGAAAGGCCCAAGAAGGGCTGGGGACAATGACATCTTCAGTTGGAGCCATTCGACAGGGAAACGCAAACAGATGAGACAGATATGAAACCATCGCTTCAGCCAGATTCAAAAGGCCCAGGATTTGCTCCCCCCTCCCCAAGTTTGAGGCAGTTATTGATAGTAAAAAATAAGTACGGGTAT